ATCAGTTATCAACATCATGCTGTTCTTATTTCTTTGCGCCCCCAAAACTTTGTGTGTGTGTACTTTAAAGTAAATTCCAGATATTATGTTATTGCATTCATATAAAGTTTTCTAAATTTTTGAATATTATTCAATGCCCATTCTATATTTAGAATTCCCAAATCATCTCAAAATTGCTTTTTGTTTTCTTTTTAAAATTCTTTATTGACCTTTTCCCCCCATTGACCTCTCCCCGACCTTTCCCACCCCCCTCAAAAATTGCTTTTTAAAAGTTATTTTGTTTGAAACCGATCCAGGCAAACTCCATATTTGCCTTTGGTTATGTTTCTTAAGGCTTTTGAAGAAAAGTCTTAAAAAGTCTTAAGAAACTGTCCCTCTCCCCCCTTTTCTTGTGGGTGTCGTTGCATTTCTGCAGAAAGTGGATCGTTCTCCCTATGGGCTCCCTCAGCCCAGCTTTTGGTGGTGACGTTTGTGCGGTGTCCTTGTTTCTCTGCTCCTCATGTTTCCTGTACAGGGTAGTCAGCTCTGAGACTCGGTTAGATTCATGGTCAGTGCAGCTTCCTGGATGGCGCTGTGTACTTCCCGTAGCGACTGTCCTACTTTCAGGGCTGAGCTTCATCATGGGCTCAGGTGGACTTGCTCATTCCTCCCATTGCTAAATTCCCCCATCGCCCTGCCGCCGAGTGCTCGGCTTCTCCTGATGACTGTTGCTAAAGGGGACCCAGGATTTCGTGGGGCGGGGGGCGGGGGGGGGTGGTAGTCAAAGGGTGAGCATCTCCATCTGTCGTTCTTTTCAGGGCATTCACTTTGGACACGGTGGACACCTTCATATCTGTAAATAATTCGCTCTTTAAAGAAATACACATTTAAAAGGGAGAGCTCACACAAGAGAATTATGCAAAAGGGTGTTAAAAAATGCAGCCCTTGCCAGCAAGAAGCTTTTAGTCTCCTGGTATTCAGCTTCTGATGGGGTCAAGCATTTAAGTATTATTGGATCCTCAGATAATCTGTTTCCTGGAGAGGGAAACTGAGGCAGAGTGGGGACTCTTGTTTTATTTTTGATACAAATATTGTAATCATGTCTAATAATCTGTGATATAATCTTTTTTCTAAGTTGTAAGTGTAATTATATGAAAAGCTGTATAAAGCAATAAAGACTAATTGTTTTATATTTAATTAATAACTTCTATTAAAAATAATAAATTAGCCCTGGCCAGTGTGCTCAGTGGTTGGAGCATTGCTTGCACAAATTGAAGGGTCACAGGTTCTATTCCTGGTTAGGGGCACTTGTCTGGTTTTCAGGTTCAGTCCCTGGTCATGGCTGGGAGACAACCAATCAATGTATCTCTGTCACATCAATGTTTCTCTCTCCTCCCCCCCCCCCCCCGTGACAAAAAAGAAATTAAATAATTAAAATAAAATTACATAAAAATTAAAAGATGAAGCTTATACAAAAAATAAGTTATGTATAATTTGTGAAAACATTTATGAAGTACTGACTGTGCGCCAGGCACTGTTCTTGGTGTAGGAGATACAGAGGTGAGCAAGGTAAAGTTTTTACTCTCATGGGCGAAAATCCTAAAATGTTTATTTTATATTGTAAGAGACTGTCTCTGTAATTGTTAATAAGATCAAATTATTAATGTAAGTTTTCAAATTGTTAATCAAATTGTTAATAAGATCAAATTATTAATGTAAGTTTTCATTATGTAAATACTATATAAATAAAAGATAGCTCTGGCCGGTTTGGCTCAGTGGATAGAGCGTCAGCCTGCGGCCTGAAGGGTCCTGGGTTTGATTATAGTCAGGGCACATGCCTGGGTTGCAGGCTCGATCCCCAATACAGGGCGTGCAGGAGGCAGCCGATCCATGATCCTCTCTCATTGATGATGTTTCTATCTTTCTCTCTGAAATCAATAAAAATATATTTAAAAAAATAAATGAAAGATAGCTATTTTACTATTTATTATTATCACTAAAACTGTTGACTGTTTAGTCAAGTACTACACTTTATGCTTTAGATGTACTATGTCGTTTAATCTTTCTGTTAGTCCTATTATCCCCATTTTCCAGGGTAATCAACTGAGGCCTACCTAGAAAGGTTAAGCCATTGCATGTGTGGTATTTTTTTGTGTACTGTGGAATGCCCTGTACATGCAGGGCATCTAGCTATTCCCCAGTTCTTGGCTGTTTTGCTCGTTTCTGGGATCCTTGAATTTATTTTGAAATTCCTGTTGGTTTTCTGAGAAGTTTTTGCAGCTCTGGTGCAGTGGTGGAGGTGAGGGAGGAAGTGTGCCTGGATCCCACAGCCTGAAGCTCACTCAGGGGCGTGTCCACTGTTCTTCCCACAGAAGGATTTACTCCTCCACGAAATTCCGAGCAGCAGCAGGAGGACGGGCGTGGAGAAGGTGATGGCGAAGGAGATCTGCCAGAAATACCTGGAGAGGAGGGCGGGGGCTCTGCCCGAAGACTGTGCGGCGGCGCTGGCCACGGCCGCCTGCCTCTGCCTGCGGAGGCGGCATGCCAGCCTGGCCGAGGTGAGCCTGATTCTCGGCCTTTCCCCAGCCAGGAGCTCTGACCTGGCCCAGCGGGGTCTCTCTTCCCAGGCTGCATGGGTTTGCTTTCTCAGGGACTAGGCTAAGATTCGGGGTTGATCTCTTCACTGAGATGTTGGGATCATCCAGTAAAATAGCTCAGGCTAATATTTGAAAATTATTAATTATGTGTATTAGGTATGTGTAGTAATTCCAGGGCTGTATTTGGGCGGAAGTAGCAGAACGTGTTGGAACTTACATCAGCAAAACAGGGCAGTATGTGGATAAGGGCGTCTTACGAGCCTGAGGGCCACGGGCCGCTGGCCTGAGGGGCCCAGGGCCACACCCTTGGTTATTAACAGAACTCGGGGGCTTTTGCTGAACCTGCCCTATTCCTCCTCTTCTCTCTCTCTTTTATTTTTTTTAATTTAAAAAATATATATATTTTATTGATTTTTACAGAGAGGAAGAGAGAGAGATAGAGAGTTAGAAACATCGATGAGAGAGAATCATCAGTCAGCTGCTTCTTGCACACCTCCCACTGGGGATGTACCCGCAACCAAGGTACATGCCCTTGACCGGAATCGAACCCGCAGCCCTTCAGTCTGCAGGCCAACGCTCTATCTATTGAGTCAAACCGGTTTCGGCTCTCTTTTATTTTTTTTATTTTTATTTTCTTGGTTAGGAGATGTGGCCATATTCACTTATATGTTATAGTTCTGCCCCATGGAGAGACCAAGTCTCCAGGCCCACATTCCAGCATCTCAGAGAGAGAACTTGACTGGCCTCGCTAGGGTCGGGCTGGCCCCCTTGGCCAGTCAGGTAACATGAGGGGCATAGGGTCCAGTATGGAAACCTGGTGGTCAGGGGAGGTCAGTCCCTGAAAGGAGAAGGGGCCAGGCCCTGGAGAAAGGGAGCATTTCTAGCTTGTGGGCTAGGCAGACACCCCAGAAATCAACCACCGCAGGAGGGAAAACATTTTCTTATGGATGGGCGATGTAAAGGTGGTTTCCATGGTAACAGGTATAAATTTGGACTGGTCTTTCTAAGGTCAAATTTACTGCTTGAGAGGGCTTAGAGATAATCTAGCCGAGTGATTTTTCAAGTGGCGTCTGGCAGAGAGGGGCTCCTAGAGAGTCCCTCAGGCGTTGCTGTTGGCAGCAAGAGGACTGTGGGGAGCTGTAGGCCCCACCTGTGGCTTCAATCAGACACCACCTTAACGGCTCATCATTATATAGGGTTTGTGATCGCTGACCAAAGTCTTCAACACAGCTGCCATAGCCCAAGCCTCCCGTTTTATAGCTGGGGACGCAGAGGCCCAGAGAGAGGAGATGAGGAGGCCGCAGAGTAAGTTTCTGTCAGAGCTCTCCGGACTCCTGGCTCAGCCCCACGTCCATCGTGTCTCACCATGATGCGGCAGGAACTAGAAACCTGAGTCATTGTTCTACGCCTGAGCTCCTCTCCTGTGCTCTGATGCCATAGTGCTCAGTCATGCATCCCGCAGTTGTGTGCTGGGCCCTGGGGGGCAGGTATATCAGTGAACAAGGCCAGTTCCACTTTCCTGGAGCTCACAGACATTGCACAGTGACTGACTGTGTGGTGAGCCCTGGGATAGTGTATGACAGGGGCCCCGCCAAAGAGGACTTTCCCTCGGAAGTGTAAGCCGGTGAAGAGCTGTCCCAGCAGAACTAACAGCTCATGCAAATATAGCGTGAGTCGGGAAAGAGCTTGGCAGGGTCAAGAGAGAAGAAGGTCAGAGAGTCTGGAACACAAAGTCCTTGGGGCAGAGTGGCTCGTGATGAGTCTGCTGAGGGAGGTGTGGCCAATAATAGAGGTAGTGCAAGCACAGTCGGGCTTTTGAGGAAGTCACTATGGGCCTGAGCAGGGGCAGGGCATAATAAGATTTACGTGCTAAAAAGATTTTTCTCCTCAACCGTTTCTTCTTTCATTCAGCCTTCCATTAGTTCTATTTTTTTGTTTTTGTTTTGTTCAGTGTATTAGTTAACGTGCTTAAAGAAACTGCTGTCATGAAGAGACTCCAAAAATACAGTCGTTTGGAGATAGACGATTCTTCTCTTTAGCTTACCAGTGTGGATGTAGGCAGTCCGGAGCTGACGTGGCTGTGCCACAGTGCTGGGGCTCCTATACTGTTGCTCTGCTGTCCTTACTGTGTGGCTTCTGTTTCAGAGACCAAGATGGCTGCTCTAGCTCAGGTCATCACAGCTGCCAGCAACTGAAAGGGGTTAGAAGGAAGAGGAGAACACATCCCCTTCCTTTTAAAGGTGCGGCCTGGAAATGCACACGTCACTCTCTCTCGCACTGCGTAGGCTAGAGCCTCGTTACATGGCCGCACCTGGCTACACAGGAGGGTAGTTTTTCGTGTGGCAGGTATTTATTGGGCATGTATATACCCTGCAGATTTACCTCAAGGGGTGACATTTGAACTGGGCCTTGCAGGTTGAGGAGGCATTTGCTATGGAGAATAAAGGGGCAGAGCACTTTAGATGTTAGGAAGATGAGAGATCAGGAGGGTCACGGACTTGAAGACAAACAGGACTGGGCTCAGTGGTCAGTGCTAGCTAGCTGGGTGGCCTTAGGCAGGGAATTTAACCTCTGATCTTCTCATTTTTTTATCTATAAAAACCTCATTGGGCATCATGTGCTAAATGTGCTTTGTAGATTGTAAGGGACCGAGCGAAGGAGATTGGTTAGGGCTGTTAAGGGTATGTACACTTCAGGCTCGTTGTGTGAGTTTGTGTGTAAAGAAGAAACGCTCCTTCCCTACCTTTATCTAATTTTCCTAACTTCCCTCTCCAGAAGAGCTCTCAAGGACAGTATCTATATTATTTTGGGCATCTCTAGTTGGAAGTGATAGAAACTCAACTCAAACTCTTAGAAACATGAGAGAGAGAGAGAGAGAGAGAGAGGTAGATGGCGGTGATGTGAACAATGAGTGAGTGAATGTATGTGTTTATTAGCTCATCTAACCAAACAGCAGATAGGACAGGCACTGCAAGGGTAGCTAGAATCAGGGTCTCACCAGAAATTGTGCAACTATCTGTGTCAGTGCCTGTGAGGCTTTCTCTCCATCTTTTGTCTCTGCTTTACTCTGTGGTAGGGCTTCATTTTCACCTATTATAAATGGATTTTCTGTGCATGATTGAACATCTGGCTATGTCACTAGAAAGCTTTAGGTGGGAGAAAATCCCAGAGAAGGGTTTTGATTGGCCTGCATTAGTCACATGCCCAAACCTGAACCAATCATTAAGGTTAGAGGAACGGGATACTGTGATTGGTTCACTCTGGTCATGTGGTCTTATCTATAGCTAGGGTAGATTGGGGCAAGTTCAGCTCTTTTCAAAAGAAGGACGCTGTTCTTCCAGGCCAAAGCAGCAAGCATTTGATTCTTCAGCGTCTTTTTCTTCTGAGGCCTGAGAGATCTGTTAGCTTTGTTTTAGTTCAGAAAGAATTCTTGGTGAGTGTCCTTGTCTCTCTCCTCCCCAAGGTGTGTGGCTCGGTGGCTGCTGTGGAAGCGCGGCTCAGAGGTCAGGAGACGTCGCTCCCTTGTGGCGGGCTCTCTGAGGGCACAGGCTCTTCCTCCAACATTCCAGAAGAGACGGACGATGTGGACAATTCTAGCCTCGATGCCTCCTCCTCCTTGAGGACAGCACCCCGGTCTGGGGTTTCTGCTTCGCCTGCCCCCACAGAGGACGAGGAAGGCAGGGTGCAGGCCAGCGGGGGAATGCGGGCTGACTCCTCCTCTGAGGCCTGTGCCAGTCCAGAGCCTCCCCAGGCTGGTGAGTGTGTAGGGGTCTGAATGCTTATACACATGTATATATCCCTGACTCAGCCCATCATCTATTCCTCCCATCTCCCTTATTCACACGTTCATTTGGTTACTCAGCCATTCACCTACCATCTGACTGCACAAAGATAAATCTCTGTTCTCTCCGTCCCCCAATGTCGTCCATCACCAAGTCCTAGCCATTGACCTAAATGTCTCTCGGTCCATCTGCTTCTTTACTTTGCACCCCTCCCCCTAACTCCGTGGTTGGTAAACTGCTACATGTGGCTCTTTGGCCCCTTGAGTGTGGCTCTTCCACAAAATACCACGGCCTGGGCGAGTTTATTTTGAAGAAGTGGTGTTAAAAGAAGTTTAAATTTAAAAAATTTGGCTCTCCAAAGAAATTTCTATCATTGCACTGTTGATATTTGGCTCTGTTGACTAATGAGTTTGCTGACCACTGCCCTGTCCATATAAGCTCCTGTCCTCCTGCTAGATGACCGCACGCCTTCCCTTGTCCTCCCTGATCCGCTCTGGCCCCTCACCAGTCCTTTTTCCAGGAGCCAACCAGAGTGGCTTTTAAAAGCAACTCATGTCACTCCTTGTGTAGCTCCCCATTGCCCTTAGGGACCAAGTCGAAACTCTTCCTCCAGACCAGCAAGGCCCTGTGTGGTTTGTCCCTGCCCGCTTCTCCATCCTCGCTTCATAATAGGAACCCATCCTCTCCCTCTGCTTCTAAAGATACCTTCTATCCAAATACACGGGGCTTCCTTCTGAAAGTAAGCTTGGAAAGCCTTCAATGCCGTGCCCCCTAGTAAACACAGCTCAATGAACGTCCCAGGCGCTGGCCGTTCCTATTGCTCCTCCCCCTCGTGGAAGAAAGAAGAAGAAGAAAGGGTGTAAGTGTTCACTCCCCCTTCCCCTTCCTGCTTCCCCAGCGGGGAGGAACACGAGAGCCCCTCTTCTCTGAAAGTGGGGACAGGTGGCAGGGCTTCCTGCAAAGGCTGAGATGAGAATACTCATACACTCAGACTCAGAAACCCGAGTTAAGTGAGAAACTGACTAAGTCTGGCTTTCTAAGAATTAGGATAGTAGTACCTATTTCCAAATGCGTGCTGTGCAAGTGGCTTTTTAAAAAAACCCCAAAAAAACCACTTTGTTTTGAACATCAACTACAGAGACTTCGTGGAAAATCGAGATCAATGAGGCCAAAAGGAAGCTGATGGAGAACATCCTGCTCTACAAGGAGGAGAAACTGGACAGCATCGAGCTTTTCGGCCCCTGATCGCCAGAACACAGCCGAGGACCCTTGTCCTCTCTTGGAAAGACAACTGTCAAATCAAGAAAAAAGATCCTGGGGCGAAATCCAAGGTCTCCCAGGGAATACAAACCAAACCCCAGCCAACCTGGGGGCAAGGAAACCTCCACTGTCTGGAGTGAGTGAGGGGAGACGGGACCGCAGCTTCCAGAGAAAGCAGCATCCACGGAGCCCCTTCCATCGGGATCTGTTTCATCAGGAGAGGAAAGCACAAACCCTGTACGTGGGCCCAGGATGGGGGCAGGTTCGTGGTTCTGACGTCAGTGCCCCAGCAGATGCCGTTACCCAGTTCTCCCCCCTCAGCACCTGACAGAGCGTTCTGAACGCGGAAGACACTTTCCAGAGTTATAACCTCTGGGTCCTATCTGCCGACGGCCGCCTGCACACTTCCGTGCCCGGAAAGATGTCCGCCTTGTGTCCCAGTGCAGGTCTTGACTCATGTCTCGAGGTCTCGAGTGTGACAAAGGCCGGACACCTGGCAAAGGGCTTCGTGGGTTTTCTGCTTTCTTTTTTGTAAGTCTTGCAACCCACGTATATTTATTTAATGTCTGTCTACATCTTTATCCTCCTGTCCCACTAATGCTAACATTTCCAATGGAGCTTTTATTTTGAAAATATGTGTTATTTATAGCTGGATAAAAAAATCAGAAGAACTGGTTTCATTCTGATTCTGCTGCTAATTACGTCAATCATGTCATTTCTGGAACCTCGGTTTCCTTGTCAGTAATACCTGTTCATTCTCCCTCCCTTGGGCTGTTGGGAAGAATAGGTCAGACATAGCTATAGAAGTACTTTGAAAATGCACTTGTCCTGTTTTATAAAATAAAGACATTAAACATCTATTTCTGCATGTACCCAATGTTTGTGCAATGGGTATATTTCTGAAAAGTCCTGTTGCAGATTTTTTTGTGAAACAAATGCTTTTTTATATTCAGTGTGCCCTATTTTAAATAATCCTGCTATCGTGATTTTTCCCCTTTTATTTTTATAAAATAAATATACATTGATAAAGTCAACCATTATCTTGTCATTAGTTTTGTGTCCAGGTGAATTTGGAGAAGCCCGGGTATCGTGGGATAGCTAAGAGATTGGGTGCTTGCTGTAAATGCTGGCTGTCAATAGCTGTGTCATCTTGGGCTAAGTTAGGGCGTTACTTTGAGCCTCTGTTTCATCTATTCCAGGGGGAGAATAAAAAGTACCTGTTTTGCCAAGACCGGTTTAGCTCAGTGGATAGAACGTCGGACTACAGACTGAAAGGTCCCAGGTTCGATTCCAGTCAACAGCATGTACATTGGTTGCGGGCACATCCCCGGTAGGGGGTGTGCAAGAGGCAGCTGGTTGATGTTTCTCTCTCATCAATGTTTCTATCTATCCCTCTCCCTTCCTCTCTGAAAAAAAATAAGATATATTTTATTTTTTTATTGATAAAAATACATTTTATAACGGAAACCGGTTTGGCTCAATGGATAGAGCGTCGGCTTGGGGACTGAAGGGTCCCAGGTTCGATTCCGGTCAAGGGCATGTACCTTGGTTGCGGGCATATCCCCAGTAGGGGGTGTGCAAGAGGCAGCTGATCTATGACTCTCTCATCAATGTTTCTAATTCTCTATCTCTCTCCCTTCCTCTCTGTAAAATCAATAAAATATATTAAAAAATACATTTTATCAATAAAATATATTTTATTTTTTATTGATAAAATATATATTTTAATCAATAATATATATATATATATATATTTATTTTTTTAAAAATATATTTTATTGATTTTTAACAGAGAGGAAGGGAGAGAGAGAGCTAGAAACGTCAATGAGAGAGAAACATCGGCCAGCTGCCTCTTGCACACCCCCCTCCGGGGATGTGCCTGCAACCAATGTACATGCCCTTGACCGGAATCGAACCTGGAACCTTTCAGTCCACAGACCGATGCTCTACCACTGAGCCAAACCGGCTTCGGCCAATAAAATATATTTTTATTGATTTTTTTACAGAGAGGAAGGGAAAGGAATAGATAGAAACATTGATGAGAGAGAAACATCGACCAGCTGCCTCTTGCACACCCCCTACCGGGGATGTGCCCACAACCAATGTACATGTCGTTGACTGGAATTGAACCTGGGACCTTTCAGTGTCAGCTTTGTACTGATATGTAAACAGCCAGGTGGGCTCCAGCCCAGGTGGACAGTGATCTGTAGGGACACCCCCGTCTTCAGCTCTGGTGGCATGTGGAGAGCACCTCACAGTCAGGAGCAGGGTATTCACAGGGCTCTGAGCAACAGAGGGCAGGTGCTAAGAGGGCACTGGCTACCCAGACATACTTGCATTTCTAGACTCGGGCTTCTGGAGGCATTCATTGAGATTCTCATTAAAGCGGCAGACCTCCCTTTAGCAAGCAGTAAAGACATACACATATATGATTAATTATGTGTATTAACTATATGTAGTAATTCCAGGGGTTCTTGGGCACCACAATGCCCATGGAATTTGGCCTGACATTCTAAAAGATGAATATGATTAAAAAAATCCAAACCGTACACAAAGTCACCTGGTGGAAGGGAAGCCGTTGAACCACTGGGAACTTAGTCTCTCATTTCTTCTTTCCAAAGGCAAACTCCGTTACTAACTTATTACTCATTCCAGAGCTGATTTAAAAACCTATCTTGTTAGTGGACTTCCTTAGTCGCTGTGTGTTTCATGTGCTGATGAGTTGGCTCTGCCTCCTGGCAATTCTGCGAATGAGTGATGTTCACAATGTCCTGTCCTCAGCAGCCCTGCTTGGTTCTTGTAGACTCATGTCTGTGGCTCCTTTTAGTGAGTCAATCCATCTCATATTTGGCCTTCCTCTCTTCCCGCTGCTTTCTGCTTTTCTCAACATTGTTGTCTTTTCCAAGGAACCCTGGTTTTCATGGGTAGTCCAGGGTATTCCTACAGCTTTCCTCTAAAATCATACTTCGAATTAACTACTTTGTTTTCTTCCTTATTTGCCTTCTTCACTGTCCGACTTTTGCATCCATACATGCTAATTGGAAATACAAGGGTGAGGATGATCTTAGCTTTGGTTTCGAATGACACATCTTAGCTCCTGGTGACCTTTCCTAAGTTTCCCATTCCTGAACTTTTGAGTCTCAGCATTCTCTTCATTTCTTGGCTGCAGTCTCCATTTGAATTGATGACTGAACTAAGATAAGCATGTCATTAGGGAAATGTAAAAAAAACAGACACAATGAGATACCACTTCACACTTAGGATGGCCATAATAAAAACAGACAGACAAAATAAATAAATAAATAAATAAATAAATAAATAAATAAATAAATAAAACAGACAGACAATAAAGTGTTGATAAAAAGGTGGAGAGCCCTGACCAGTTTGGCTCGGTGGATAGAGTGTTAGCCTGCGGACTGAAGGGTACCGGGTTTGATTCCGGTCAAGGGCATGTATTGTGGTTGCGGGCACATCCCCAGTGGGGATGTTCTGGAGGCAGCTGATCAATGTTTCTCATTGATGTTTCTAACTTTCCCACTCCCTTCCTCTCTGTAAAAAATCAATAAGATATATTAAAAAAAAAAAAAAAAAAAAAAAGAATGTGGAGAAATATCCATCCAGTGTGGCTCAGTGGTTGAGTATCTATCTATGAACCAGGAGGTCAAGGTTGGGGCTTGATCCCCCAGGGTTGGGGCTTGATCCCCAGTAGGGAGTGTGTAGGAGGCAGCCGATCAATGATCTTTCTCTCTCATCAGTGTTTCCATCTCTCTCCCCCTCTCTCTGAAATCAATAAAAATGTTTAAAAATTTGCCGAAACCGGTTTGGCTCAGTGGTAGAGCGTCGGTCTGCGGACTGAAAGGTCCCAGGTTTGATTCCAGTCAAGGCCATGTACATTGGTTGCGGGCACATCCCCCGTGGGGGGTGTGCAGGAGGCAGCTGGTCGATGTTTCTCTCTCATCGACGTTTCTAACTATCTCTCTCCCTTCCTCTCTGTAAAAAATCAATAAAATATATATTTTTTAAATGTTTAAAAAATTTTTAAATGATAAAAAAAAATTTTGGAGGAATTAGAACCCTCATACTTTGGTGCTAGAATTGTAAAATGGTGAGCTGCTTTCCCCCACATTCTCAGCTGCAAAATGTTAAACATAGTTTCCATATGACACAGCAATTCCACTGGTAGATAGCTACCTAAAAGGAATAAAAACATATGCTCATACAAAAGCTGAACATATGTTTTTGTGCACCAGTGTTCACAGCAATATTCAGAATAGCAGATAGAAACAACCCAAATGTTCATCAACAGATGAATTGATAAATGAATGTGCTATATCCATGCATTGGAAGATTATTAATAAAATTTATTTTATTAAAAGTTATCCATAAAAAAGAATGAAGTACTGATACATGCTACAACATGGATGAACCTTGAAATGATTTTGCTAAGTAAAATATATTATTCCATTTTTTTTTAAAAATAGATTTTTATTGATTTTTTACAGAGAAGAGAGGGATAGAGAGTTAGAAACATCGATGAGAGAATCATTGATCAGCTGCCTCCTGCACACCCCCTACTGGGGATGTGCCCACAACCAAGGTACATGCCCTTGACCGGAATCGAACCCAGGACCCTTCAGTCTGCAGGCCGACGCTCTATCCATTGAGCCAAACCGGTTTCGGCTATTATTCCATTTTTTTGAATTGTCCAGAATAGGCAAATCTACAGAGACAGAAACTAGGAGTGGGGTTGGGGAAGGTTGAGAAGGGAAGTAGTAATGGTCACAAGATTTGGAGGTGATGAAACTCTTGTAAAAGTAGATTATAATTATGGTGATGGTTGCACAACTCTATCCTAAAATATATGTTAAAAACCCCTACCAAACTATATATAGGTGAACTTTATGGTATGTAAATTATATCTCAATAAAATTGTTAGAAACACACAAATACACAATGGTCAATTTTAGGCATTAAAAAAAGTCCTTGAGGTTCCACTCCTCTCTCTTTTTAAATTATTTTTTGCTTTATACAGGTTATTTCATTCATACTGCTCTGGATCCTATGTTTTTTCATGTCATTTTTTGGCCATTCTTTCTCAACAGTACATTTGGGTCACTTCATTCTTTTTGCCCGATAGTCCATTGTATGGATACTCTGCACTTTATATAACTAGCTTTGCTTGCTGCATACTGAGGTGGTTTTCATTTTTTTTTAATTTAAAAAATATATATTTTATTGATTTTTTGCAGAGAGGAAGAGAGAGGAATAAAGAGTTAGAAACTTCGATGAGAGAGAATCATCAATCAGCTGCCTCTTGCACACTCCCTACTGGGGATATGCCTGCAACTAAGGTACATGCCCTTGACCGGAATCGAACCCGGGACCCTTCAGTCTGCAGGCTGATGCTCTATCCACTGAACCAAACAGGTTTCCGCTGGTTTTCATTCTTGCACTATAAATACTCATGCCTTCGTACCAATTTAAATGTCCATCAGTGACCCATGGGGTAGCATTTCCCCACATTCTTAGTTGCAAAGAATCCTATGCTTTTAAAAAATATGTATTTATTGACTGGAGAGAAAGAGGAAGAGAGAAACTGAGACATGGATTTGTTGTACCCTTTAGTCATGCATTCATTGGTTGACTCTTGTATGTGATCTGACTGGGGATTGAATCCACAACCTTGGTATATCCAGATGAAGCTCTAACCAGCTAGGGCAATATTATGCTTTTTAATCACTGCCAATCTAATGGGAAAACAATTTTATTTGTACTTTTTAAATGACTGAAATAGATCTATTAAAAATATTTTGTTAGAGAGGCTTTTGTAATTTGTGTTCATTCCTTTGTCCATTTTAAAAAATATATATATTTTATTGATTTTTTACAGAGAGAGAGAGGGATAGAGAGTTAGAAACATCGATGAGAGAGAAACATCGATTAGCTGCCTCTTGTACACTCCCCATTGGGGATGTGCCCGCAACCAAGGTACATGCCCTTGACAGGAATCGAACCTGGGATCCTTCAAGTCCGCAGGCCGGTTTCGGCCCTTTGTGCATTTTAAGACGAATTCTCTTATTGCTATAGTTTTTACATAATAAGGCCATCAGACCTTTGTCACATGTTTCCAACTATTTTTTTTGTCTTTCGACTTAGGTATTTTTTGCCAAGCGGATATTTTACATTTGCGTGGTCTCATTTTCCCCCCTTGGCTTCTAACGTCTGGTTCTGCTACTTTCTGGGTGGGTCCTTAGGTCTCTCTGAGCCCGTTTGCTGCGCTGTACGTGGATGGGGTGATGATGATGATGTAGGTTTTGTGAGCGTATCCGGACCGGAAAGCGTTGGGCGCCCGCGGGGAGCGGCTCTCCGGAATCCCGGTCCGTGGCCGCCCCCTACCTCCCGAGAGGGCGGCCCCAGGAACCGCGCCGCCCCGCTTCAACTTCGCGGTCCTCTGAGCCACGTGAGTGGCTCCGCCCCACCTCGCTTCCGACCAATGGACGAGTCTTATAAGGCGCAGGGTCCCGCCTCCCAGCCTCCTGACCAACAGGCGAGCTCCGTCTTGCTCGGAGTCCCGCCCCTCGCGGATGGGAGCAATAGGCGCCCTCAGAGCGGCGCGGGCCCCGCCCCGCCGCACGCCGGGCCGCGGGCCGCAGGGCTCGTTCCGGGAGGCGGGCGCAGCGCAGGCCCTTGGATTCGGATCGCGGGCGGAGGCCGCAGTGTGAGGGCGGGCGGCGAGCGGGCGGGACGTCCGGGCCGTGGCGGCAGCGGGCCGACGTCTGGGCCGCGCGCGCGGCACAGGGACGGAAGGGGCGGCCGGTCGAGTCGGCGGGGGTTGTTTCGAAAGCGGCGGACCCGGGCGGCTCGGGCCCCTTCTGGGCCGGGCGGGGCCGCGGGAGCGGGGCGGGGGCTGCGCGCCGGTCCGGCCCTGCCCTGCGGCCCGCCGTCGGCGTTCCGGGCCTCGCGAGGCCGCCCTCCTTCTCAAGGGCCGCGGGTCCGGCCGCCATGTGTAGACCTGAAAGCGCCCGTCGTCTGTGAAGCGCCTGGACACCTCGGAAGGGCTTTCTGCTGCAAACGAAAATCCGGAAGCTCTCGGTTGTACAAACCGAAGCGTTGGGTGATCGCGGAAACAACACGTTGTGCGGGCTTGGAAGCCGCCCCGGAGTCTTTTTAATAAAACCTTGAAGCGGCTTGGCCTCTCCGAAGCGCTTTGGCATCCCCGGAACCCCGAGGACTGTGATGGGCAGTGGAAGGAAGGGGGAAAGGTCAGTAAGGCTGCTTTCCTGGCTCTGACTTTTTCCGGGCTCGCCCTGGGCCCCGCGGGCCCGGGATGGCGGCGGCGGCGGGAGTCCGAGGAGGGCGGCCGGGAGGGGGTGGTGTTGGAAGCTCCGGTCTCTCTCTGCTTTGCCAGGTGCCCATGGCGTCGGAGCGGCGCAAGGTCAAGTACCACAGGAGCAGCTCTACGGACAGGGGTTCCCGCAAGCGCAGCTGCCTCCGGGAGGCCGGTGATGTGGCCCCCTCCCCCCGGCGGCCGGCCCCGAGCTCCGCGACGCGTTCCCCAGGGGCCCGCAGCCCCAAGCGCCTGAGAGCCCAGGAGGAAGACGATGTGGCCTGCCCGCCGCCGGAGCTGTCCCGGGACTCAGCCCGCCGCAGAAATTCCTCCTCCTCCTCCTCTTCCTCCTCCTCTTCTTCCTCTTCTTCCTCTTCTTCCTCCTCCTCCTCCTCCTCCTCCTCCCAGTCCTCCGGCCCAGGTGTGGCGGACGGGGCTGCCTCCGAAGGCTGCCTGACTCGGAGCGCACGTGAGGCCTTCCTTCCGTCAGGGGGCTCCCCTCCGCGCCCCGCCAGCCCCTCTCTAGAGGAAATGGCTTCCCTAGAGGAGGAAACCTGTGGCCTTAAGGTAGGTAGATGCCCGCGAAGCCCCTTCCACGTGGCTTGAGAGGTTGGGGAATGGGGGATTTTGGTGGAGGGAGACTTAAATAAAAAAAAAAAAAATCATGTCCTTTAAGATCTTGGGGTTCTTCCCAGAGGTCGTCTTTGTGCAAACACTGAAGAGCAAGCAAGCAGCTGCCCAGGGAGGTGGCCTCAATTCGTTCACTGGAGAGGCAGTTTTTTAAGCTTGGAGGCACTTGGGGCTACTCCGGAAGCTTTCAAACACCTGGGCCTGCCTCCCCCCCATCCTGGTTTATTTCATTGGGCCAGAGCGGTGGGTGGTGTGGTCTGTTCTTGCACAGTTTCAAATGCTCCTCGGGTCATTGTAATGTGTTTCGCGGTGGGAGCAGCACTGCGGTAGAATGTGGATTGCCTGCTCCGGAGGCACTTATGTATGTATGTGTGTGTGTGTGTATGTTAGTTGTGTAAGTTTAGGAGTTGTGTCCTTGTACTTTGGACCACTCTGAATCCGAACCAGGGGATGAGAGTTTGGGTTTGGTGTGGTTTTTCACTGAAGTTATGGTTTCCAGAATGTTGGAGTTCTGGTTGGTGGGGCAAGGGTTGTTTTGCAGGTTTAAACACTTAGTTCCCCGATGGGAACACTCAGGTGGGATTTTGAGTATTTACAAGGGGACTAAGGAGTGCTTCATAGAGGAAGTTTACGCCTACTCATTCATTTTATATTAACGTGTGTGTGTGTGTGTGTGTGTGTGTGTGTGTTTGAAAGGGGTAATAAGATTTTCCCAGCTTTTGTATGTAAGTGTGTGTGAAAGTTGAACATGAGTCTGTTTGAAATAGAAGCAAATACAGCTCAGTCTCTTGTTTGCTGTTTCCTCATAGTAGAGCGAGCACTAGCTAATAACGCCAGCCATACTGTGTAAGTAAGCTTCATCCACTTACTCAATCAGGTTTTGAACAAATATTTATTGAGGGCCTAGCTTATGTCAGTAACAAAAACAAAGATCACTGCCCCGTTAGAGATTGCATTTTAGGTTTTGGAGCACCTTTGAAAGGTGAGGTGTGCGTGTGGAAGAGAGGAGAAAAAGTCTTTAATTGGGGTGGGGGGAGGTGGGCTGTCTCTAGAAAAGAGTTATTTTGCAAAAGCAATACAAACAAGGCCCCAAGAAAAGTGGGTTTGTCTTTAAGTCTGTTCATTGGTTTTTTTATGTGGAACCGAGCAATGAGGCTGTAGTATTTGGCTGTTTATTCTGGAGAACTCTTGTGCTAAGTGCTCCAAGCCAGGTGTTTTCAGTATGGACCTCACAGAACTATATATGGTCATGTGAATCTTTTACAAAATTTAATGGTGAATTTAAAAGCTTTGTCTTTGGCATAAGAATACTGAATATACGCCAGTGGCAAGTGGATATGGCATTGGCCACTGAAGGGTTCCTGTTTAGATTCTGGTCAAGGGCATGTACTTAGTTGCAGGCTCCCGGGCCCTGGTCAGGAGCTTGTGGGAGGCAACCAATCGATGAGTCTCTCTTACATGGATGTTTCCACTCCCTCCGCTCCCCTGCCTTCCGGTCTCTAAAAATCAATGGAAAAAATGCCCTTGGGTGAAGATAAAGAAAAAAAAAAGGCTAAATATGATTCATTGTAAATAAGGTAAACATGGGGATTTGTGCATATAATTTAATCTTGTCATTAATCCTACTTGATGTAATTTCTGTGGATTTAGTACAACAAAATAGTATCAATTGATTAGCCCTCACTGGTGTGGCTCAGTGATAGAACTGCACGCCAAAGGGTCTTGTGTTCAATTCCTGGTCAAGGGCAGGTACTGGGGTTGCAGGTTTGATTTCCAACCCTGGTCGGGGCTCTCGTGCAGGAGGCAACCGGTTGATGTGTCTCTCTCAGATCAATGTTTCTCTCCGCCCCCCTCCATTCTCTCTAAAAATCATTGAAAATAATATCCTCAGGTGAGAATTAACCAAAGAAAATATATCTATGTGTATCTCAGTGGATTAAATTTAACTTCCATGGCAATTACAGAGAGAGGGAAGCCTGGTATTAGGAGGGGCAGAAAAGTTAACCTTGCTTATTAGTCTTTGAAGTTTGCTACATCTCTGGTGGCCTCCAAGCCAGGTGGGTCTAATCCTAGTATGGACCCACGTTTCTCTCATTTAGTCCTAAGGGGTCTTATTTTGCCAAAATCAATTTAATGGTTAACCATGGAGCAATGACTAGTCCAGGCCTGTCTAGAAGTCTGGGTTTATCAGTGCTTTCCTTTCGGTCAAGAAGCATCTGAGGGTTATTGTGTGCCATACACTCTGTTGGGTCTTGGAGCCATGAAATGGCTTCTGAGGAGCACAGTCTGTTGGGAGTTTTGAGGAGTTATGAGACTTCCTTGATGTGGTATGGTGGAGCAAGGAGCCTAGAATGGAGGCTGAGATCGAGGTAGGGGGCAGATTGCTGCAGGGATTTATTAGCCAAGGGAATTTGTATTTTATTCTAAGCCATTAGTTTATATAGGACTCTGTACTGAGGGAAGGCAGATTTGCATTTTGAAAGATCACTCATGTTGAGTAAGATTAGAATATAAGAATGTTGATACAGTGAACCCTTAATTTTTCTGACCTTGACTTAATGGACTTCGGATTTAATGGACAAAAATGACATAGCCAGTTTGGCTCAGTGGATAAAGCATTGGCCTGTGAATGGAAGAGTCCTGGGTTTAATTCCAGCAAGGATACATGCCCAGGTTGCCGGCTCAATCCCTAGTAGGGGGTGTGCAGGAGGCAGCTGATCAATGATTCTCTGTCGTCATTGATGTTTGTATCTCTCCCTCTCCTTTCCTCTCTGAAACCAATAAAAATATATTTAATTTTAAAAAATTCCAGTTTGTATTTGAAAATTAACACCCTGGTAATTTTAAAATGCGTTTAACTAAGATTTGATTATTATTATATTAATAAGTAATTTTTTTGTTATTCAGTTACTTTGAATTAATTTTAGCATATAGGCCATATGTTGTAAAAAACACTGCAGTAGTTGCACTGACATGAATATTACATATTTACTGCTGTAGTCTACATATTTAAATCCAAGAGCCATTGCTTGCAAGCAGTGTCTGGTGAATGGTTAGCACATGACCACACTGCATTGCCCCAAGGTAATCGGTTCTGTTGTCTCTTGGGGTGACTTTCTGCAGGAGTTTTGACTCATGTTGGTGACATTCTGATGTGCATTAAACCAAGCCCCAGTCATGTGCATTTGTTCACTCAAGGTGACTGGTGAGCGCACGCATTTATTAGACCTATTCAGTATAAATTTAAAATTACAGTAATGCATAGAGAAACTTCTGTGAAATTTAACTTTTCATATATAGTTAACACTAATTATACAGAGATATCTACATAAGTAAAAACTAATTTATCAATTTTTTTTAACGTGCATTTGGAAAATTTTGTTATATAATAGACTTTAACAGACACTCCCTCCCACTTGCTCGAATTAGTCCATTATATTAAGGTTTTACTGTATTATCAATCTTAATTGTCTATCTCTAGCACTGCTGAGGGCTCTCCCTAGAGTGAGTTTGTAAAGAAGGTGTATAGTATTCCACTTATCTTGATGAATTACAAATGCCTCTCTTACTTTCCCCCTCAACCTTACCTCTTACTCCCTTTCTCTGCAGCCCAAAATGCTGGTCTAGTAAGTACAAGCTAAGGGGCACACATAAAAATCGGCATGTGTTTTTTTTTTTAAATATATTTTTATTGATTTCAGAGAGTAAGAAGGAGGGAGGGAGGGAGGGAGAGAGGGAGGGAGGGAGAGAGAGAGAGACATCCACAATGAGAGAGAATCATGGATTGACTGCCTACTGAAAACCCCCCACTGGGGATCAAGCCCACAACCCAGGCATGTGCCCTTGACCAAAATCGAACCTGGGACCCTTCAGTTCCCAGGCTGATGCTCTAACCACTGAGCCAAACTGGCTAAGGCAAAAACTGCATGTTCTTATCTAGGTCCTTCCAAGGTCCCCTCTGCACTCTTCTAACCGCACATCACCTGCTTCTGTTTGCTCTGTAACCTTTGAGGGATACACACTTGGCTTTGTGGTTACCTTTACCCCCCTTTTCACAGCCTCAACACAGAGGCCTCTGTGCCAGGTCATAGAATATTCAGGGGGAAGATTGTTTTTAAAATACGTTTTTTATTTCTTTTAGAAAGGAAGGGAGGTGGGGAGAGATAGAAACATCAATGATGAGAGAGAATAATTGATCAGCTGCCTCTTGCACGCCATACACTGGGGATCGAGCCCACAACCCAGGCATGTGCCCTGACCAGGAATCGAACTGTGACCTTCTGGTTCATAGGTCAATGCTCAACCACTGAGCCATGCCACCCCAGCAGAGGGAAGATGTTAGTCCTAGCCTGCTGTGGATCGAGAGGAGGAGAGAGATAGAAACATCCACTTTATAACAAACATTATAACAAAATACCACAGACTGGGTCACTGATAAACAACAGAAATTATTTCCTACAGTCCTGGAGGCTGGAAGTCTGAGATCAGAGTGCCAGCATGGTCAGGTGATGGTTTTTTCCATGGTCACAGACTTTTCATTTTTCCTCACATGGCAGAAGGGGTCATGGGAGCTCTTTTGGGGCCTATTTTGTAAAAACATTAATTTCATTTTTAAAGAAAATATATTTTTATTCATTACAGAAAGGAAGGGAGAGAGAGAGAGACCTGGTTCATAAGTACCTCTTCATATGTGACCCATTTCCTGGTTCATAGGTAGACGCTCAACCACTGAGCCATGCCAGCTGGTCGATCTAGCTCTTAAGGGCTCCACTTTCATGACTTAATCTTTTCCCAAAGGCTCTTCCCCTAGTACAGTGGTTCTCAACCTTTCTAAGGTGGTGACCCCCAACCATAAAATTATTTTCCTTGCTACTTCATAACTGTAATTTTGCTACTGTTATGAATCGTAATGTAAATATCTTTGTTTTCCGAAGGTCTTAGGCTCTATAGCAGCGGTTCTTAACCTGTGGGTCGCAACCTGTGGGTCTCAACCCGCTGTAGAGCAGGAGACCATTGGAAAATACAGATATTTACATTACGATTCCTTAACAGTAGCAAAATTAGTTATGAAATAGCAACAAAAGTAATTTTATGATTGAGGGTCACCACAGCATGAGGAACTGTGTTAAAGGGTCACGGCATTAGAAAGGTTGAGAACCACTTTTGTAGCATCATCTTGGGGTCAGATTTCAATATGAATTTTGGGGTTCGGGGAGAGACATATTCAGACCATAGCTAGACTGGGGCATTTTGGAATCAGTAGAAAGTCCTGCTGGCCAGCTCACATTGTTTGTTCTTATCACCTCTAGGACAATTGTTTGAGAAGTTTTCTCAAATTCTAATGGTAGCTGATGATCTTTGTGTATAGAGAAAGTTAAATGTGCCTATTATGAACACCTTTACCTACCTTAAGTTAGTCTTAATTTTGACGCAGATTTTATATTCAATAGGAAAGGAAGAGTGGAAGGGAAAATTTGAGCATTTATAATGTGATAGGCTTTGATCAAATATGATTCTCAATGTTTGCCCTATAGATTCATAATTCTCGGAGTCTTGTGAAGTAATGTTATCTTTATATATTAGTTAACAAATAGTTACATGTGATTAACAAATATTTGAGCACCTACTCTGTGAAGGCATTGGGAAAATGAGTCAGGTTAAATAAGTTAAATAGGGCCAATTCCGCTTGTATGTGGCAGAGCTGTGGTGTAATGCCAGAGGAGGCTGGCTTAAACGGCAGGGTTCTTTCCACTGCTGCCCTCCCGAGCACCTGCTCTGTCCTGGCCCAGGATTATATGTGAGGGATGGAGAGATGAAGAGGGCAAGATCCTTCCCCTGTGGTGCTCTTTGCAAGGTGACAAGAGAAACTGTTGTGTCTCTAGCTCGTTTAGCTCAGTGGATAGAGCGTTGGCCTATGGAGTGAAGGATTCTGGGTTCAATTCCAGTGAAGTGCACATGCCCAGGTTGCAGGCTCAATCTGCAGTTAGGGGGTGTGCAAGAGGCAGCCAATCAATGATTCTCTCTCATCATTGATGTTTCTATCTCTTTCTCCCTCTCCCTTCCTCTCTGAAATCAATAAAAATATAATAAAAGAGAAAGAAACCATTGTATACCTTGGATCTTGAATGCTAAAGCTTTCTTCACGTGTGACGTATTTCCTGCATATTCCCTTAGCAGATGTCCTGAGCTTGGGTGGAAGGCTAGATGTGCAGAGAATAAGGCAATGGTAGACTGAAAAAAGCCTTCATAGTGTAGTGCAAGGAATGTTGTAACAGCAGTATTTGAAGTACCAAGGGTCAAAGGAATGGGTGACAAATCACAGGGCAAGTAATTTAGCTTATTTCCTGTGGACTCTGAAATGCCTGCATGTGGAGAGGAAGAGAAGAAAGGGGCTGAGACTTTACTTGCATCTCTGAGGAGATTGGGGTGAGAGGCTAGGTCTCTTGATTGACCCTGGAACTAAGGTACTTTCAAAACCAAGGTTTTGATTTGGGGGAAAGAGTTTGCAGAGAACTTCAAGGAGGCTGGGGATATAGTGGAAAGCACACATCCCTCAGGAGTCAAAAGATTGGTGTTCACTTTTCACGGGGCCATGGGTTCCTTCACTCATCGTTGTGGGATTGGGTTATCTGGTTTCTGGGGACCTTTCCAGTACAAAAATGTTAAACTTTTGTTTTGCCTGGGTGTGTTCTGAAGTTTGTGGTAGTCCTTGCTCTTAAGGAGCTAGTGTTAGTAGACTGTTCTCTTTGCTCATTCCTTCCTACTGTAGTATGAGGATGCTATCTGATAAATGTGAGAAAGTGAACATTAAGAAATAGCACACTGGGCTTTGGGATTCACCAAAGCTTAGCTGTGCCACCCCGAGACTCTGCCCCATCCAAGTGGAATACAGAAACCCTCCTAGCTGACACATTTCTGATCCTAATAGCCAATTGGCTTGGAGATCAATGCTTCCCAGTGATACCAACAACAAGCAAGGCTTAACAACAAGACTGTACACACAGCCCACAAAGGGCTACACCAAGACTGTCCACCTCAGGTAACTGGGAGGCTGACCCACTCAACCATATAGGACACCTTAGCACACAAAGCCACCCTACCAACTCAGGGAAGCTGTGAAAATGCCGAGACAAGGAAACAGATCACAAAAAAAAAAAAATGGAGGACAAAAAGCGACTGGATATAGAGTTCAAAACCACACTTATAAGGTTTTTCAAGAGTTTCCTAGAAAAGGCCGATAAAATAAACAAGACCTATGAGGATATGAAAAGGGATCAACTAGAAATAAAGAATACATTGTCTGAAATAAAAAATATTATACAGAGTCCTAAAAACAGAATGGAAGATTGCAAGAATCAAGTCAAAGATTTGGGACACAAAGAGCCAGAAGACACTCCACAGAAGCAAGAAGATAAGATAATCCAGAAAGTTGAAGATAGTATAAGAAACCTCTGGGACAATTTCAAACGAACCAACATCAGAATTATGGGGGTCCTAGAAGATGAGAGAGAGCAAGATACCGAAAGAATACTGGAAGAAATAGTTACAGAAAACTTCCCACACTTGGGGAAAGAAATAGACTTACAAGTCCAGGAAGCACACAGAACCCCAAACAAAAGGAATCCAAAGAGGACCACACTAAGACACATCATAATTAAAATTCCAAGAGCAAAAGACAAAGAGAACATTAAAAGCAGCAAGAGAGAAACGGGTAGTTACCTATAAAGGAACACCCATACAATTGTCGGCTGATTTCTCAACAGAAACCTTGCAGGCCAGATGGGAATGGCAAGAAATATTCAAGGTGATGAATAGCAAGAACCTACAGCCAAAAATAATCTACCCAGCAAAGCTATCACTCAGAATCGAAGGCCAGATAAAGAGCTTCACAAATAAAAAAAAGCTAAAGGAGTTCATCACTGCCAAACCAAAATTATATGAATTGCTGAAAGGCGTTCTTTAGGAAGAGGAAGAAGATATAGATAAAAATTATGATCAACAAATACGTAACTATCAACAAGCGAAACTAAAAGCCAAAGGAATTTAAAAACTTGAACAATATTAATTGGTGAATATAATAGAATCAGAGGTATGGAAGGGGAGTGAACTGACAATTCTTGAGGAAAAGGGGAGTGGGGGGTGCGTGAAGAGCCTGAACAAAAACTGTACCTATGGATGAGGACAATGAGGTGTGTGGAAAGGGCAGAGGGTGGGGTGGGAACCTGGTGGAGGGGAGCAATGGAGGGGGGAAAAAATGAGGAACATTTGTAATATGAACAATACAGATTTATTTAAAAAAAGAAAAGAAAAAAGAAATAGCACACTGGTGTGGCTCAGTTGGAGTGTCAGCCTGTGCACCAATAGGTGACAAGTTCAATTCCCAGTCTGGACACGTATCCGAGTTTGAACCCTGGTTGGAGTGTGTGTGGGAGGTAACCAATTGATATTTCACACTCATATTAATTTCCCTTCATTCCCCCTCCCCTTTTCCCTTCCCCTCCCATTAATATAAAAGCATGTCCTCTCCTCCCCCTCCCCTTCCCATCAATATAAAAGCATGTCCTTGAGTGAGGATTAAAAAAAGAAAAAAAGAAAAAGGAAATAGTGGCAGTTCAGCCCCTTTTACAGTGGGCGGATGGAAACCATCACTTGAAGAGAATCTTTGCCTTGGCCAGTATCACTTTCCCTTTGATTGATGGAGTGCCACTGGTGTTTAATTTGCCAAGTGCTTCATGTATGAACCCATCTTTTCATGATCTGTGTTTTCCAGGTTAATTCCAAAGATAATTCTCGTAATTCCACGAATTCTGAGTTTGCAGCTGAAGCAGAGGGTCAAAATGAGAAAATTGAGGAACCAGGCAAGGTTCAGAAAAAGAAGAGGGATAGACCTCGAGACCAAGGCTCTACCATGATCTACCTGAAGGCCATCCAGGGCATCCTGGGGAAGTCGGTGCCAAAAAAGAAGGGCGAGTCTGCCACTATGGCAAAACCAGACACAGCAGACCATCCCAACCATGGAGAGGGCCCAGCCAGGATTGGCACGGAGTCTCCTCCGAAAGAGGAGGAGGCAACCCCAGAGGTCAGAGTGAAAGAGGAAAAAGAGGCTGGGCTGGAGAGAAGCAGCTTCTGTGACAGGAGGGTGGTGGTAGACCCTCAGGAGAAACCCAACGAGGAGCCACTTGGTGACCGAAGGACAATTGTTGACAAGTGCTCTCCACCCCTAGAATTTTTGGATGACTCAGACTCTCATTCAGAAAGCCAAAAGGTGAGTCTTGCTCATGCTGAGCATGGGGTTTTTAGTGCTCTTGATTAAATGTAGTATTTGTTCTTTCTGGTTTGAGCCTAACTGTTATTCATTAAAACAGTGCTTGACTTAGGATTCCAGGCAACAAATTGATGATTCTCTTCTAAAATACCTTTCAGAGTTATTAAAAATCTGATTGGTGCTATCTTTTTTTTTTTTTTTTTTTTTTTTTTTTAATATGTTTGTTAGGATATAGATTTGCCAGCTGTACAAAAACCAAAATAACAGTGGCTTACCATTAAATAGAAGTTTGGCTTGAGGAGGATGACTCCTCTGTATCAGGGACCCTGGTACCTTCTGTCTTGATGCTCTGCCGCTCCTCAGCAGTTTCCTTCCTGTGGTCTGAGATGACTGCTCTGACAGGACTCAGTACATTACATTGATCAGTCCAGCCAATAGGAAGAATAGAAGAAAGTGCATTCCCCCCCCCCCCTTTTAAAAAAAATATTTTATTGATTTTTCACAGAGAGGAAGAGAGAGGGATAGAGAGCTAGAAACATCGATGAGAGAGAATCATCGATCAGCTGCCTCTTGCACACCTCTTACTGGGGACGTGCCCGCAACCAACGTACATGCCCTTGACTGGAATCGAACCCGGGACCTTGCAGTCCGCAGGCCGACGCTCCATACACTGAGCCAAACTGGTTCCGGCCTCCCTCCCTTTTAAGAGATTGGCTCAGAACTTGTCCACTCATAGTGTCTGCTCATATCTATTGACAAAAATCTAGGTATCTGGCCAACACCTAACTGCAAGAGAGTCTGAAAAATTAACTTCCATTTGAGCAGACTTACACCCAGATAAACTTTCATTGCTGTTAAGAAGAGAGTGCCGAAACCGGTTTGGCTCAATGGATAGAGTGTCGGCTTGGGGACTGAAGGGACCCAGGTTCGATTCCGGTCAAGGGCATGTACCTTGGTTGTGGACACATCCTCGGTGAGGGTTGTGCAAGAGGCAGCTGATCGATGACTCTCTCTTATCGATGTTTCTAGCTCTCTAGCTCTCTCCCTTCCTCTCTGTACAAAATCAATAAAATATATTAAAAAAAAGAAGAAAAAAAGAAGAGAGTGAGGCTTGGCTGGGTGGCTCAGTTAGTTGGAGGGTTGTCCTATACACCAAAAGGTTTCGGGTTCACTCCCGGTCAGGGCATATTCCTAAGTTGCAGGTTTGATCCTCAGGTTGTGGGTTTGATTCTTAGGTTGGGGTATGTATGGGAGGCAACCCATTGATATTCCTCTCACATTGATGTTTCTTTCTCCTGCTCTAAAAATAAATGAAAACATATCCTTAGGTGAGGATTTAAAAAAAAAGGCCCTGGCTGTTGCGGCTCAGTTGGTTGGAGTATGGTCCCAGGCGTTGGAAGGTCATGTGTTCGATTCCTTGCAGGGCACTTACCTAGGTTGTGGATTCGATCCTCAGGCATTGAAGTTTCTTTCCCCCCTTTCCTCTCTCTCTAAAAATAATTTAAACAACAACAACAAAGAAACAAACAAAAAAAACACAACTGTGGTTTTCAAAAGCCCTCTAGAGATTCTGATGTGAAGCTAAGTTCAGGAACCATTGTACACAACATTTATCCTGAAACTAATTCAACAAATATTTATGAACATTCACTGTGTACTAGACACACTGTTCTAGCTGTTTGGAAGACATCAGTGAAGAAAATTAAAATACCTAACCTTGTGGCACTTAGGTTCTAGCAAACTTGATTTAATGCAATGTATAGTAGTTCTGGTCACTATGGCACCTAGCAATGTAAAATAACCATTTTATTTTGCTCTCAATTTTGTGATTTGGGAATTCAGAAAAGTCCAACTGGGCATATCTTGCTTTTGGGGTCGGGAGGGGATCTGTTATGTGGTTTCATTCATATATTGGGAATGGCTGCAGTCTGAAAGCTCTACAAGACTTGACATCCAAAATGTTCACACACACACACATACACAAAAGGTTCACTCACACATTGGGCAGTTGATGCTGGTACCTATGTATGACCTCTCTAGCAGTGGTCTTGGGCAGTATGATATGATTTCTTACATGGTGATTGGCTTCCCCCAGAGGAGCAAGCTGAAAGAACCAGGGGAAGCTACAGCTTGATCTATCCTTGGAAATTATGCAGTTTCACTACTGCACTCCGTTGGTTACAAGTAAATCAGTAAGTAGGTTGGACCAGGTTCAAGGACAGACCACCATCTTTCATTGGGGAGTAGTGTCATTATTTGCAGACACATCTTAAAACTGCCATAACTGAAACCCTGACCAGGTAGCTCAGTTGGTTAGAGCATCGTCCTGATATGCCAAAGTTTCAGGTTTGATCTTTAGTCAGGGACATATAAGAATCAACCAGTAAATGCATAAATAAGTGGAACAACAGGTTGATTTTTTTTCCTCTCTCCCTTTTTCTCTCTCAAATCAATTAAAACATGTTAAAAACAAGCAAATGCAAAAATGGCTCCAGTTAGTTAGAGCGTTGTCTTATAGGTCAAAAGGTGGTAGGTTTAATTCCTGGTCGGCACATTTCAGTTCAACTGTGTGGTTTTGCATTTTGATGTATTAGAAACATTGTTAGAGATGAGATTCCTGGCACTGCTTTTTTCTAATATCCCCAATACACACAGCAGTTTTTCTTAAGAGGGGTCATTCAGAGAGAGAGTGCTGATATAGCATCCCTTTAGGGATGGCCTTATGAGTTTATCCCTGATTTGACTGTTCATAGCTATAGTTTGGCTCACTTTCTGGAAATATTAGGTCTAGTAATAATTAATGTCGTTTTCTAATACCTTTTTTAAAATCGAATTTATTTAAACAATACAACAAAATTTAATCAACAATATAGTTGCTGCTGTTTTCTACTACTTGTGCCCAACGCTCAGGAAGCATTTTAATCCCTCTGTTGTAAAATTCTTGTGATTTTGATGCAAAAAATTCGGTCAATGCATTTTTGAGGCATTCTTCATTATTAAATTTTTTTCCAAGAAGAAAGTTTTGCAAAGAACGAAACAAATGGTAATCGAAACAAATGGTAATCGGAAGGGGCAATATCAGGCGAATATGCAGGTTGAGGGAGAACTTCCCATTCCAACTGGCGCAGTTTTTCAGCAGTGATTCTTGCAGTATGCGGTCGTGCGTTATCGTGGTGAAGAATGACGCCCTTCTGATTAATCAGCGCGGGTTCTTTTTCTCTTAAAGCTTGGGCTAACCTTTCCAATTGGGCACTATACACTGCACTTGTAATGGTTTGGTTAGATGGTAAAAGTTCATAATGAAGAATTTCTTTAAAATTCCACCAAACACACAACATCACTTTTTTCGCATGCAAGTCAGGTTTTGGCGTGGGCTGCGGAGCCTCATTTTTGTCCAACCATTGAGGCCGCCTTTTCAAATTAACATACAGCACCCATTTTTCATCTCTGGTAACAATTTGCTCTAAAAACGGCAAACGGTTTTGACGAGAGAGGAGCGAACTGCAAATTGTGACTCTTTGATTATGGTTGTCGGTCAACTCATGAGGAACCCATTTTCCAAACTTTTGGACTTTGCCAAGTGCACACAGTTGATTGGAAATTGTTTTTTATGAACAATTTAAAGTTGTCGCAAGCTCTTGTTGGGTAATTTGAGGATTTTGCACCAAAAGAGCTTGAAGAGCTTCTTGATCAAAATTGGACACACGGCCTCGACCACTCTTGTCATCTAACGAAAAATTTCCCTCGCGAAATTTCTCAAACCAACGCTGGTATTTTCTGGCGCTAACTGCATCTTGACCAAGAGCACTACAGATGTTTTTTGCAGCCTCACTTGCTTTTCTTCCTAATTGGAACTTGTAAAGCATGCAGTGCCGAATATGCTCTTCATCCGCCATCTTCTTAGCCCTAGTTTTGCAACAAAAACCAAACCAAACACAAACTTTTTCAAGCAAAACTTGTTAATTGCACTTCACACGTTCTGTAGATACCACGTGTTTGAAGGTTATGTCAATACAAGTCAACGCCAAGCAAGATTTTAAACGAATGTTTAAAAACGACATTAATTATTACTAGACTCGATAATAAGAAACCTAGGTGACAGGTGAGTTAAAGGAACCCATGCAAAGCTTTCACCGTGGCCAAAAAGCAAGCCAGAGCTTATGCTCTGTAGATGACAGTGTGGGAGGCTGTCTTCATGCAGGAAGGCTAACCCTTTGTTGCTTCTTTTCTGCAGCCTCAAGAAAGGGAGGTGGTGATAGAGCACATCTCCTCAGGAAGTGACTGGTCCGACGTGGACGAGGTCTCCACAGCCAGATTCTCTCAGGAGGAGCCCATCTCACTGAAACTCCCAGCAGTTCCAGAGCCTTCTGCCTTTCCCACTGACTATGTCATGTACCCGGCTCACTTGTACAGTAGTCCTTGGTGTGATTTTGCCAGCTATTGGGCCAACACTCGCAAGCCTTCTAGCTACTCCTCCATGGGCATCAGCAGCAGTGACACATTGCAGGCTGGGAAGAGCAGCAGCTGGGGCTTCCTGAGTGATTATTCCTCCAACTCTACAGTGAGCTCCCAAAACACCTCTAGAGATTGGGAGGCGACAGAGGAAGGCAGATCCCAGAATTCTCGCTCATATCATTACTCCAGAAGCTTACAAGAAAAGGTGAAGGAGAAAAGAACATTCCAGGAGGAGCCGCCACCCCGTTCTTATGAAGGACATGCATCTAGCTCTCTGCCAAGGAGCCATGTAGAGCCAAACCTAGAGGCGGGTTTCATTGATACCCATTGTCACTTGGACATGCTCTATTCCAAGTTGGCTTTCCAAGGGACCTTCAGCAAGTTCAGGAGAATTTATAGCACCTCCTTCCCTAAGGAATTTCAGGGCTGCATCTCTGACTTCTGTGATCCCAGGACACTGACAGATACCCTATGGGAGGATTTGTTGAAAGAGGATCTGGTTTGGGGGGCCTTTGGCTGTCACCCTCATTTTGCTCGTTACTACAATGAGAGTCAAGAAAGAAATCTTTTGCAAGCCTTAAGGCATCCCAAGGCCGTGGCATTTGGGGAAATGGGCTTGGATTACTCCTATAAATGCACCACACCTGTCCCTGAACAGCACAAGGTAATGGGGTTCTCTTTAGTTTGCTTATAATTTTGTGGGGTTTCTTTTACGTTCTTAATTTATTAATCCTCTCATGAAAAATCTGTACAGATAAAGCCAATGAAGAATCTTTGCTCATTTTTGCCAGCACCAACATTGGCCTTTGCAGTTCCCCTGACTTCCATTCTGTTCTTGAAGTCTTTTATGGGCTTTTCTTGCAAACCTATGTTTGGGTTCTTTCTCTCCCCCCCCCTCCCCCCCCCCCATAATACAAGGAATCATAAATCATACCAGAGCCACTTGTCTTGCCACCGTCAAAGTGGGTTTTGAATCCAAATACCAAGATGATATTTGTGATCTTAGATATTTTGACTAGTTTTCCCCAAATTTCTGTCTTAAGTACTGCTGCCTTCCTGGGGTGAAGAATGTAGTGAGCATTCGTTTACACTAAAGTAGTCTATTGGTCATGGACTTCCTGGTTTGATAGTTACTATGTTATGATGGCTACCCACTTGCTTACAATTTTAATTAATTTAAATCCGTACCCCAGGATACGTTTTATTGATTTTTTTAGAGAGGAAGGGGAAGGGAGAGAGCAGAGAGAAAGAGAGAGACATCAGTGTGAGAGAAAAACATTGATCAGTTGACTCCTACTTGCCCTCACTGGGGATCGAAGCCATAACAGGTGTGTACCCTGACAACGCCCAACCAACTGAGCCACCTGGCCAGGGCCACTTGTTTACAGTGTTAATTCCTCTTTTTGTTGTTGAAATAAATCTAACCATTGGGTTTTTCTACTTGGGGGGAGTTGCCTATTTTTAGAACTAAAGAATTAAGAATTTCTAAAAATGTAATTGGTCTTATCCAGACCATCTATATGTCATTTCTCAAATTCTTCACAAGCTATTTCTTTCAGCTTTATTATAGGGGAAAGTGATAGGTACTTTGTGACTTCTTATGGCTAATGATATGTATAAAAACATTTTCTTTCTTAGGAGGCAACAAATTTTGTTTAATTTTTATTCTGATTTTAAAGTTAAGTATGCCCATCGTAGAATAATTGGAAAATACAAAAATTTATAAAGGTGATCATTTCCCATCCCACTAGAGATAACAACTATTACCATCTTAATATTTTTTACTCCCAATATCTTTTTGCATGGAGATTTGGCACGGAATGAGTAGTTTCTGACTTAGGCAGGAGCAGGACAAGGAGAAAGATTCTCACAGTATCATGTTGTCAGGTTGAATTTGTTGTGTGCTGTCTTTCACTTGATGCCTATTAATTCTGGGTCTGCATGCCCAATATGCTCAGGCCTTTGTGAGCATGTATGGATTCCAGCCTGGGCAAATTTGGTACCAGCTTTCTCTTTGGTGCTGTCCCCAATCCAACTGAGGCGTCCTCAGCAGTGCACTGATGTGCGCCATTGATACTGGCATCTGTGGATAACTGTGAATTAAAAGAAGGAATTTTCAGAGTCAGTGGTTTCTTATTTTTTCCTTCGATCAAAAAGAAAAAATTCAAGGAAGGTATAGTGCCCTTCTGCTCTAGCAGAAGACTCTAGACCCATAGTCAGCAAACTGCGGCTCGCGAGCCACATGCGGCTCTTAGGCTCCTTGTGTGTTGCTCTTCCACAAAATACCATGGTCTGGGCGAGTCTATTTTGAAGAAGTTGCATTAGAAGAAATTTAAGTTTAAAAAATTTAGCTCTCAAAAGAAATTTCAATCGTACTGTTGATATTTTGCTCTGTTGACTAATGAGTTTGACGACCACTGCTCTAGACTTTGTACACTTTTAGGAGATAGAGATTCCAGTTTGAATACAGTTGTCCATGACAGCCATAAGCATGCCAGGCTTAACAGTTAATTTTCATAAGAAACAACTTCAGATGTTTCTCAAGGATTTTTTTTTTAGATGAATTTGCTAGGACCTATTAAGTTTATTAAATTCTGAGCAGCATGATTTTGACTTGATCTGCATTCAGACAGGTGGGTGAGAGTTTATGTGTGTGAATGTTTTCAGTTTTTTACTTGAATGGATTTCTAGTATAGTGTTTCAATTCAGAATTAGGTTTGTCTTGTACATTCAAATAATCTCTTGCCAGAGTTCCCTTTTGTTACTAACACTAGGATGTTTACAATTTCTGACTTGAGGCAGTGATTTATTAGCCAAAAATGAATGGAACAATAGCTAAAACTGAAAATAGGAAGAATAGATTTTTAAGAAAGTGAGACAAATATTTAACATTCTGCTTTCCCAGTTCGTTCCTATGGCACAGGCAGGTGTGGTATGGAAAGAAGATCACAGTTCAGAAATGTGTACACTAAGGTGACTGGAAAGAGGAGGAGGAGCATTATATTTAACTAGAGGCCCAGGGAGTCCTGCAGTCCAGCCTGCGCCCTCTTGCAGTCTGGGAGCCCTCAGGGAATGCCTGAGGGGAGTGGGCCTAAGCCATCAGTCAGACATCCTTAGTGCTACCTTGGAGGTGGGGGAAGCTTCTGCCACCACCACTGCACTCACCAGCTGTGAGCCCCCGGCTTCTGACTGAATGGCGCTCCCCCTGTGGGAGCTCACTGACCACCAGGGAGCAGCTCCTGTGTTGAGCTTCTGCCCCATGGTCATTGCACGTCATAGCCATTTGGTCATTCTGCCATTTGGTCGATTTGCATATTAGCCTTTTATTATTTAGGATTGTATAGCTGATTATTGAATGCCTGCTATGTGCCAGGAAATGTGCTAAGTATTTCACAGTAACTTTTCCTTTTATTAAATCATTGAGTTATCAGATCTATCTAGGGCATGCTGACTGAACTTGAAGTTATATTATAGGGTGATAAATAGAATCTTGCAAGTATCATTTGGCTTGGTGAAATTGGATTCAAGACTGGAAAATGGTAATTCAAGGAAGTAAATTGTTGGCAGGGGTAGGGCTGAACTATGTGTAGAAGAGAGGAAGATAAGATATTTATGTACAGCTCTACGGGAAGAGGATGCCATGTTCTTGATGTGAATCTAAACTTGGACACCAAAATTAGAAGTGTAGCCGAAACCGGTTTGGCTCAGTGGTAGAGCGTCGGTCTGTGGACTGAAGGGTCCCGGGTTCGATTCCTGGTCAGGGGCATGTACGTTGGTTTCGGGCACATCCCCGGAAGGGGGTGTGCAAGAGGCAGGTGGTTGATATTTCTCTCTCATCGATGTTTCTAGCTCTCTATCTCTATCCCTTCCTCTCTGTAAAAAATCAATAAAATATATTTTAAAAAAATTAGAAGTGTATTAGTTGAATGTTGGCATTGAGTTGCATTTGCCTACAAGCAGAATAGTTGGCAAGTTCTTGGCATGTCCTGATAAATATTTTATCTGGGAAGGGAAGAAGAAAAGCCTATGGAAGGACTGTATCTAGCCAAGTAAGAGGGTGCTAGCTAGCTAGGTCTGGTTTCTTTACCTAATATATTCCAGAAAGATTGGAGAGTAGAGGAAAGCAAAAGAATGGGGGAGGGGAGGATACTAATTATCCTGCTATCCAGAGCAAACCATAGTTAACTTTTCCTTGCTATGTATGTGCATAAATTTAACTGTTTACTGGCCTGTTTATATTTTTATTTTTTTAAATATATTTTATAGTTTTTACACAGAGAGGAATTGAGAGGGACAGAGAGTTAGAAATGTCGATGAGAGAGAAACATCAACCAGCTGCCTCTTGCACACCCCCCACTGGGGATGTGCCCGCAACCAAGGTACATGCCCTTGACCGGAATCGAACCTGGGACCCTTCAGTCCGCAGGCCGACGCTCTATCCACTGAGCCAAACTGGTCCTGGCTGTTTACTGGCCTGTTTAATTCCAAAGAGTTAGTTAGGTCCTGGATAGTTTGTGAGTTGCATATATCAGCCAATATGTTTACCAGACTCCCTTGGTTTCTGGAGTTGGAAAGCCAGGGTGAATAGTTTGTCTCTTCCCTCTTGGGCAGAGCGGGCTGAACTAGATTGCTTCTGTCAGTATTTGTGTTTGACTGGAATGGAGTATTGAGGTAATCCTTATGCAAGAGCTGCCGGGAGGGCCACCCCCAAGAGAGACTGATTAACTATGGAATCCCTGGAAATAATGGATCTATGGGAACCTGATTATGCAAGCAGAAGAGAGTAATTATGCTGGGTAAATAATTTATCTGTACTTCATTCACTCCTGATTTTTTATTCAGCAAGGTTTCTGGTGAGGACAATGCTCAATATTTTCCAGCCCAGCCACAAGCTCCTACCTACTAGCAATTCTTCCATCTTAACTAACATCTGTGAAATTGAGATGTGTTTTACAAAACATTATTTATATATTTCTAATCCTCACCTGAGGGTATGTTTTTATTTTATTTATTTTTCAGAGAGAGAAAGAAATATCCATTATCGGTTGCCTCCCATATGTGCCCGTACCAGTGATCAAACCCGAAACCTGGGTATGTGCCCTGACCAGGAATCCTAACAGTGACCCGTCAGTGTATGGGACGATGCTCCAAATAGCTGAGCCACCTGGCCAGGGCTAAACATTATATTTTAAATACCATTGTCCTTTGGAGAATCGCAAGGGAAAATTGGTGGCATGTTTTATAAGCACTTGTCATAGAATCAAGGAATATGTGTTATATGTACATGCTTTTTAAAAAAGAAATTAGGCAATAAAAATAATCTGTTTGAAATGTAAAAAAATATGTATTTTTTTCCTTTTAAAAATATATTTTTATTTCAGAGAGGGAGAGAAATGTAGAAAAATGAGTGATAAGAGAGAATCATTGATCAAATACGTTCTACATGTACCACTCTGGTGATTGAACCTGTAACCCGGGCATGTGCCTAAAGTGCTTTGAGTACTACCTGGCTCTTTAGTAAGACTCAGTACGTCTTATCTGTTACTGTACATTATAGTTTAAAAACACAGAGTTGGAGACAGTGGAGCTGCCCATTGGACTAGGTGTTCTGGAGGTAACAGACTTCTGAAGAGGCTCTAACCTGCATCTATTGTCACTTTGTTTCTCCCAGGTGTTTGAGAGACAGCTGCGGCTGGCTGTGTCTCTAAGGAAACCCTTGGTGATTCACTGCCGAGAAGCTGATGAAGATCTGCTGAGCATCATGAAAAAATTTGTGCCCTCAGACTACAAGATCCATAGGTTAGGGGGAGCTTCAGTGGGCAAATTAAATGAATGCTTCCTTTGTCTAGGCTGTTAGTTGTCAAAACAAAAACTTAATAGGAAAGTATGGATATTATTAGGTTTTTATGTAGTATCTTTAGTAAATATTAGATTAAATCATATGAAATTTCTGTTATTTAACCATTTTTTACTTACAAAACTGCAACTTCATATGATTTGAGCTAATACCCTAAATCATTAATGAGCAAGAAGGGGGCTTTTGTGACCTCTGTCCTGGTAGTAGGTGAGAATGGAGCCTCAGTTTTGAGAAATGAGGGCTACTGATTTTGGGAAAGACTGCTGTCGTGTCCAGCACACAGACGATTCCCGAGCACCTGGAAAAATTTTTCTTTTCCTTTTTTTAAATTAATTAATTAATTTTATTTTATTGATATTTTACAGAGAGGAAGGGAGAGGGATAGAGAGTTAGAAACATCGATGAGAGAGAATCATCGATCAACTGCCTCTTGGACACTCCCCACTGGGGATGTGCCCGCAACCAAGGTATATGCCCCCGACCAGAATCAAACCCAGGACCTTTCAGTCCGCAGGCCGACGCTCTATCCACTGAGCAAAACCGGCTTCGGCTCTTTCCTTTTTTGAATTTGAAAGCTCATTGAAGTGTGGGATGTGAATAGTATCTAGAGGTTCTTAGGTTCACTTTGACGTACTCTCTGATCTTTTACTGTGAACTTGTCCTGGCTGTTAGTTCAGCTGTGGGAGACAGGCGAGTCAGCTGGTTACTTCTCTACTGTGGAGAAGGTGGGTTTGAGGTGGGCATACGGTACTGTGAGAGCCTGAGCAGGGGCCATTGGCTAAGCCTGGTTCTAAACTTGCACATGTGTCAAACACAAGGCCTGCGGGCCAAATCCGTCCCGCCAGGCCTTGCAATGAGGCCCGCACCGTGCTGTCATCACTGCACTCCGCTGCGTTTCCATCACAATGACAGTTTATGACTGTTCAGTAAACCATTCGGCCCGCGATTTAGGCTGGATTTTAGATTTTGGCCCCTTCTCTGATTGAGTTCGACACCCCTACTCTAAAGGATCAGGAGGCAATGCCTGGGCTGTTTCTATTAAGACGGGTGTGATGAGTTAACTGAGAAAAGCAGGGAGTCTAGAAGCCAAACCGGGTCTTGACAGGTGATAGAAATGGGTAGGCCTGTCAGGCCTCTAAGCTGCTGCCTTTTGGGGTCTAAGCAGAGAGTGAAGCCTCTGACTGGTGGCACACATCAGAGACGAAGCAGTCACTCGGCCCTTCTGGTTGGTTTGTTGGTTTTTCATTGCTTCATTTTGGGCTAACTGTAAAGGAATTCTAAAAACTGGTTGTAGATTGAAGGAGGCTAGGATGGTCCAACAAGATGTTGTGGCTAGAGGAAGGCCTGAATTTCCAGATTGAGATATACATCTTCTGTCTAATAAAAGAGTAATATGCAAATTAACAATCACCCCGCCACACCCTCAAGCCATGCCCACCAGCCAATCAAGAGAGAGTATGCAAATTAAACCAAGATGGCTGTGGCCACAGAGCGAGTTTGGGTTTCCCCGGCAATGGAGGAAGCCATGCTTTCTGCACACCTTGGCCAGCCAGGTCTCCACTCAAGGCTACAAGTTTCTATTATAGAAGATAAATAAATCCCAATGTAAATGGAGAGAGCAGGAGGCTTGGGTTGCCCCCAGCAATGGAAGAAGTAAGCTCCCATAGCCCTGGCCTGCCTTAGCTACAAAATTTGAATTATAGAAGATAAATAAATCCCAACAAAAATGGCTGTGGCCACAGAGCAAGCAGGAGTCTGGGCTCTGCTCAAGGCTACAAAGTTTCAATTATAGAAGATAAATAAATCCCATATACCAGGGCCGCCTCTTGGGTTGCTGGGGGTGTGTGGCCGGCTTGCAAACCACCACAGGCCCCTCGCCCAGGCTGCCCCACACCCCAAAGGAACCTCCACCCTGACCCAGGACACCCTTCAAGGCAAACCAGCTGGCCCCCACCCATGCACCAGGCCTCTATCATATCTAATAAAAGAGTAATATGCAAATTGACCATCACTCCAACACACAGTGATGTCTACCCCTGTGTGGACACAAGATGGTCACCACAAGATGGCCAGCAGGGGAGGGCAGTTGTGGGTGATCAGGCCAGCAGGGGAGGACAGTTGGGAGGGACCAGGCCTGCAAGGGAGGGCAGTTGGGGGCAATCAAACCTGCAGGGAAGGGCAGTTAGGGGTGACCAGGCCAGTAGAGGAGGGAAGTTGGGGGTGATGGGGCCTGCAGGCGAGAGCAGTTGGGGGGACCAGGCCTGCAGTGGATGGCAGTTAGGGGCAAACAGGCTGGCAGGGGAGCAGTTAGGCATCTATCAGGCTAGCAGAGGAGTGATCAGAGTGTGATCAAGCTGGCAGGCAGAAGTGGTTAGGGGCAATCAGGCAGAGGCAGGTGAGCAGTTGGGAGCCAGCAGTCCTAGATTGTGAGAGGGGTTCCAGATTGGAGAGGGTGCATGCTGGGCTGAGGAACACCCTCCCCCTCCCTCACCCCCCCCAGCACGAATTTTGTGCACCGGTTACGCATGCATATTATACTAGAGGCCTGGTGCATGAAATTCAGCCTGGCCTGCACCCTCTCACAGTCTGGGATCCCTTGGAGGGTGTCTCTGTGGGGAGCAGGCCTAAGCCATCAGTCGAACATCCTTAGTGCTGCTGTGGAGGTGGGGGAGGCTCCTGTGCTCGAGAGCCATGAGCCTGGCTTCTGGCTGAGCTGTACTCCCCTGGTGGTCAGTGCACATCATAGCACTGGTCATTCTGTTTGGTTGATTTCCATAGTAGTCTTTTATTACATAGGATAGGATTATATTATATTTATATTTGTTATATTATGAACATGGAACATGAACAGCCTTCAAAATAATAAGAAATTTATTCATAGTCTCACTTCCTGATACATTTTTTTCTCCTTTGAGTTCATTTGACTGCATGGACATAATTTTTACCTACTGTAGTTGTAATATTAAAGGGGCCACAGTTTTAAATTCTGCATTTCTTTTTGTGTCATAAGCATACCCTGTCCCTATGTTGTTGCTGTATGTTCCTGGTAATTATTTCAAGTGGCTGGATAGTATTCTGTGGTATAATGGGTTGATGGATGAGTATTGCTCACCAGGAGTCATCTTGGGTCTTACTGTGTTGGAACTAGTTCTTGTCTGTGTTTACTATGGAGTCCTTCCTTTGGATGCAATCTCTACATTTCTGGATACTTATCCACAGAAAATAATTTAAAAGGGGTTGTATGTCTAGAGGGAGTTGGGGGCTGCTGCCAGGGGATTGTGAGAGTGCTGATCTGGACTTCTCCTCTCAGGCATTGCTTCACTGGCAGCTACCCGGTCATCGAGCCCCTGCTGAAGCACTTCCCGAACATGTCTGTTGGCTTCACTGCGGTCCTGACGTACTCTTCTGCCTGGGAGGCCCGGGCAGCTCTGAAACAGATCCCGCTGGAGAGAATCATCGTGGAAACTGATGCCCCCTACTTCCTGCCTCGACAGGTAGGGTGTCTCCAGGCTGAGTTAAGGCCCTGAGGAGAGGGTGGGGAGAAGGGTGGTCACCCTTACAAGGTTGGCAGGGCCAGAGCCCCAGTGATATCCAGGTCCCACCTGGGCTTGTATTGCTCTGCAGAACCAAAAGTCTAGGGGGTTGAGAAGCTGAAGGGTAACCACTCTCTTCCAGGCAGTGCAAAGCCCTACCCTGTAGAGGGTAGTCCAAGGAAGCGTGGGACCCTGCTCACCCAGAGCCCCCCATGACTAGGACTCTCCCTGCACCTGCAGGTAAAGGGGTCTCTACAGGGCAGCCCCAAAGAGGTCCTTACTGGGGAAGGGCCGGGGAGGGAGCTCTGTGCAGTGACTGAGCGCAGACGGCTCAGCGATGTTCTGGATGCTTGATATCTTCCAGGTTCCCAAAAGCCTTTGCCAGTACGCCCACCCAGGCCTGGCCTTGCATACCGTTCGAGAGATTGCCAGGGTCAAAGGTCAGCCGCTGTCCCGCACCTTGGCTGTGTTGCGTGAGAACACCAGTCGCCTCTACAATCTTTAAGCAGAGAGAGTGCAGGAGTCTTCTATAAAAGGTTATAACATTTACATTTATGTTCTTTAAAATCGCGACAAAAGCTTCCTTTGCTGCATTTTATTAATGTAGAGAGTAGCCTGATTTGTCTTGAGTGAACTTGGTTTGAAACCTTCCTTTTCTCTTCCCTCCAGGATGACCAGTGACCTAACAGCACAGGCTGGGCTTCATCTCTGCCTGGGCCCAGGACAAGGGTGTGTTCAGAGCCCATTGGAATGGAGAAAACCAAGACAGGAAACAGGATGTTTTCCTTGGAACTTCATCATAAGGCTTTTGATCCTGGCTATGGATTGGGTGGGGGGTGGGGGTGGGGGGTAGGGGTGCAGTGGAGGGAGGGTGGGGAGCAGGGGTTGCCTTCTGGCCACATGCTTCAGGGCAGTCAAGGAAGAAAGGTTAGTAGAAGGGTGCAACAAGTTTGCCCATCCAAATCTCTGGTTCTCTGCAGCCTGTGTTTTTGAGCAGTTTGCAAATAAAGTCACCCTCCTACTAGTCTAAGCCCATGTTGGTGTGTAACTTGATTCCTGGTCCTCGGTTCTGAGAATGAGCTCCCAGTGGGAAATCTATGGGGAATTTTCACTGGAGACCGGTGAAGTCATCCCCCTGCAACCAAAGGAGTCACCCCTCCCTCTTCCCTGGATAACTCTTCAGTTTGGCTGCCGCTGTTGCTGGCAACTGCATTGGCACAGGTGGAAGGACTCGACTGCTGGTTTCATTACTGGGTCCATTGCTATCAATACAGAGGGGGAAGAAAGGCACTCGTTGTCCAGGGAAAACCCTGGCTGATGGAGATCCGGACAGATGGGGGAACTCAAGGAAAAGGCCCCCTTGAGGAAGAGGATCCCCAGAAGGTGTTCCTACTTACTGATGCCCGCAGGGCTGCCGCTCGGCCGTGTTAAACTGATAAAGGTACAGCTGGTAGCAGAAGCTACTTGCTAGTCCGCTGGTGAGGTCTCAGCCGCCCTTTGTTCATTTTTGCCCTCTTTCCCTGGAGCACTGGACCGGAAATACTCATTCTTTTTTATTGCATATGACAGCCTCTTGTGTGTCCCTCTCAAGTTAGAGGTAAATCAGTTTGATTCTTCAAAGCTCTGCTGGGGTCACTCAGCCATGTTCTGTTGCCTTTGCCTGTAAATCTTTCCTTCTCCCTCCGGGCGGGCGGTCTCCCTTGCCTCCCTGTGTCCTTTGTGTTGGAAATGAGAAAGACTCCTTTGGCTTTTGAGCAACTGGGTCATCTCAAATTTTAAGCTGTGTTCTGCTCCCTGCTGGTGCCTTGTAAAGGTATATTCATTACAGGCCCTGGAAGGTTACAGTGGTCACGGGGCACATGTAAGGACACTGTACTTTGCCAAAAGGATCCTTTACCCCAGTTTGCAGTGAGACAGGCCACCAAATTCCTTGTGTGTTTCTTGGAACCTGGTGGCTTAAATCATAAAATCCATCACTCGATGCTGGATTTCTCTAGGTGGTTTTGGAAGGTGCATTTGAGCCTGTAAGTTAAAAGGAAATGGGCCTAACGTTTTTCTAGGTGGTGCTTCTCTTTTGCCCCGGGCAGTTGTTGGCCTGAGAAGTGGGCCTTGATTCCCTGTTGGCCTTCCATGGATTAGTGGTGCGTTGTTTGTGCCTCACGTTTGCCAGTCTGTTTGGAAGATTTGGGGAACTGCAGAGTGCTTCATTGTCATCCAAATGAACTGCAGCATGTCTCCTTCATAAGCCCTGTATGTCAATACTGCCTCCCTGGGAAACCAGCTAGTCCTGCTTTAAAGGTTAAAGTGATGACTAAATGGTTATCTCAGAGCCTATGCAGTCTTCCTGCCAAGGTAACGCACAAGGTGCTATACACTTTTATCTATAGGATTTAGGATTACTTTTGTGCTGTGGCGTGAAAGCTGGTTGGCAATGCTTTTTATGTTGGATGGCTGACTTGTTTTTGCTGTGCTGCTGGAATGCCTCTATCGCCCCTATCCCTGGCCATCAGTTTCTGGAAATAAAGGGATAGGATTCCCAGCCAACTCCCATGCTCTCCACGTTTGTTTTGAGTTCTCAGAATGAGAACATGGTTCAGTTGTTGGCCGACTTCGAAACCTGCGAACCCAAAGGTGTGACATTCTCGAGTGTACATGTTCCTCTGCAAAATGTCATGAGATAAGACATGGCATCTTCTTAAAAGTTCTGCTGCCTTTGAGCATTAACGTTTATTTTATACTTTGGGAACTTGGAAATACTGCTGCTTCCTAGCTTTTGGAAACTACACAGATACCGTTTCTTTCTCCAGAGCAGTGCGGTGAGAGGAGGAAGTACCGAGTACACGGGTGTGGTACTGATGAAGCATTTGTACTGTTTTTGGACGATGAAATCCAGTGCCTCTGGGTAGGCTGGAGGACATTCTGTTTTACTACGTGCACACGTATTTAACTCCATCTTCTAATTCTGCATGGAGGTGTTGTTGAACATAAGTGCACAAGCCAAAAGTAAACCTGGAAAAAGGAAGGCTCTGCTGTGAGAATGTTAAACAAATTTGAAATCTCGGTTAATGCGTCATCTTTGAGACAGTCATTGACTGCTTTTTCAGCATATTCCTTCACTTGGGTTCAGTTTCCTCTCCGGTTGAACACACAGTTGACTGTGTCTACTCAGTGATATGTTTGTGGCTGAAAATCTGTTGCTCTTGGTGTTTTATCTTTCTCTCTGTATTGAGTTGGGATTAATACTAATCATTTGCTGTCAGGACTTCATTTTTACGCCACTCATTTTATAAAATAAGGGCAAATGGCACTGATTCCGTGATTAAACAAACTCGGTCAAACAAAGACGGCAGCAGAATTGCCGGTCGGTGGCTAGCAGCCTTGTGGTCTCTGTCAGTGCTCATTTGGAGTGGATTCAGATGAAGGAAGGTAGCTGAGGCTGGGTCCCATTCTTCTGTTTACATGTTGCCATAAGGGAATTTCTGAGCACACACCTGTAAGTGTATGATGAGTTAAATACATGTGCTAGTATACTGATATACTAGGTATATCCTAAAACACAAAATAAGGAGAATTTTTTATAAGGAGAATTTTTTCCTTCAACAGATTTCTTGTTCACGCCAACGGTAAATACACCGCTTTCAAAGAACCTTAAGTTAGTGGTATTAAATGTTAGAGGAATAGGTTTAAGAAGGTGACATAGGACTGTTTGAAATGCTACATTTTTTACAAGTGTGTCCCTTGTTTCCTTTGATGTTTTTCTGCCAATTGTTGACTTGAAGTTGACCCAGTGTATTATGAAAGAAAATAAAAAACAGAAACAAGCCCTAGCCGGTGTGGCACTGAAAGGTTGTTGGTTCGGTTCCCAGTCAGGACACATGCCTGGGTAAGGGGGCATGCAGGAGGGGCAGCGTATTGATATATCACTCTCACATCAATGTTTCTCTCCCTCTCCCTTTTTCTAAAAGTCAATAAACTTTTTCTTTTTTCTTTTTTTTTTAATTTTACTTTAAAAAACAAAAGAAATCTCTTGGACCCTAGGCAGCTGGGCAAGAAAATACCATTGAGAGCAGTAGAATTTGAAAAGCATGGACTCAACCACTACAGCCCTGGATATGAGTGGGCAATGTATTTGCTGTGTGGCCTTGGAAATTTAATTTCTCCAAACTTCAGTTTCCTCCCTCCTAAGTAGCTTGTGAAAATTAGCTGAAATTGCAATAATTACAGTATTTAGAACAATGCCTGGTGCACAGCAGGGATGAAGTAAGTGAGGATTGTTAGAATAGTTGAATGCCTTCCATGTGCCAGGTGCCCTTGAGGGAGATACTGTGTTCAGTCTCTATAGTAACCCAGGGAGGTGGTGGGTATTTTAATTTGAGGAACCTGAGGAATTCAATATGTTGGTTTGGATCAGAACTGGTATTCAAAATCATAGCTCCTAGCCACATCATGCTGCCTGCCCCAGGTGAGATTGGGCTTAAAATTTTTTTAATTTAATGAAAGATGCAGATAAGTGGCAGAGAATGCTTTTGAGTCCTTTGAGAGAAAAGTAAGTCTTTGTTCTTTTGATGGGGTGGAATTGACCAGCATTCCCACCAGGGCCTGTCACACATCTCTCTCCTCACCCCCCCACTCCCCCACCCTGAGCACCACCCCCAGTCCAATCCATGGCTGCTGCTTCCCCAGATCAGCAGCTGGTTTCCTGGGTTAATTTGGTCACACTTGGGCCTTACATTCTCTCTAGCCATTAAGAAGAGGGCGGTGGGTGTGGATAGTGTGATCAGGGTTGTGCCCTACTAAACAATGGAGCTGGGATAGGGCTAAGTTTCAGGAGAGCATGTCAATCTAGGCCTCAGTACTGGGGAGCTGGGTCTTAGGGGCTGGCCATCTGGGGGCTGTAGAAGGACATTTCCCTCTATTTCTATTTCTTTTATTCCACTCCCCCCGCTTAGTTCACTTGTTCTCCAATACCTTAAGTTCCTTTAATGGTGATAACGTTTCAGTCTGTGGCTTAGGTGAAGATGCTTTTGAAAGCAAGGACTCAGTGAATGAAGTCTCTGTGTAGTCATATAATCAGGTGTCTGATCATCTGAGAGATGAGAGTGTGTGTGTGTTGGTGGTATGCAATCTGCCCAACAGATGGACATCGAGTTGACAATAGAGCTGGGACTGAATCGATGGGGAAGAAGGTAAGAAGGAAGAAACAGGACATCTTTTTCATGTGTTCACAGTTCTGTTCACAGAACTAGCCAGGTCTCAATTTTTTTAAGTTTCATAACAATCGACACCCCTTCTATGCCAGGTGGGCCAGCTGAGCTGTGCAGATTGCTGTGCTATCTGAATAGAGTCCAGTTGCTTCTAAGCTACGTTATATAAACCATTTAATAACCTGGGATCTTGTTGAAGTACAGATCCTGATATAGCAGGGCAGGGGTGGGACCTGAGATTGCATTTCTAAGGAATTCCCAGATGATCCACAAACCACATGCAGTTCCTGGATGATGAATAGCAGTTGGGTTTCAGTGTGCCTACTGAGTCTACCAGTGGTTGGTACCTATAGGGGCTGTGCCTTGAGTGCCAGGTGGCCAAAATTTTACTTAAGGCACTTGGCTTCTAGAGCCCTCTGATTTTTCCAGTGTGGGTGTTACCCCAACTCTGCAGAGGGGTGTCCTGCATATTTCTAGGGGATCATGTGTCTGACTGGGCAGGTTGGCAGTGCATCTCTTTGGAATCTCCTTCCTTGTTTGCTTTTCTCTATTGATTCACTCACCCATCATCACCAGCTCTCAGAAATCAATTTGCATGTTTATGCTAAAGTGTAAATGACTGATAGGTGACATTTCCTCCTAGGAAGGCTGGTGTCTTCCCTGGAATTAAATTGTAGAACTGAAAGACCAAGGTTTGATTCACCTGTGAGCTGGAGTTGGAGATGTTTTGGGACAATTACCGGGTGTCAGTGAAGTAAGAAGGCGATGGCCTGCCTTGCCATATGAGTTGATACCTGCTTTGCTGGGCTTCTCAATAGTGAACAGAGAGGAAGCTCTTCCCAGCAGTGGCCAGAAGCCATTATTATCACCCACTTAATAACTTTACACTCATGCTTTGGTATTCCCAGAATCCCGTTCAGATCTTGAATGTATTCAGTGGATTTTAGCTCTGATAACCTCACCTGCACTTTCTTTGTCCATACAGTCTTTTTTTTTTTTTTAATTTTTTTATTTCAGAGAGGAAGGGAGAGGGAGGGAGAAACATCAATAAGAGAGTACCATTGATCTGCTGCCTCCTGCACGCCCCCTACTGGAGAGTGAGCCTGCAACCTGTGCATGTGCCCTTAACAGGAATCGAACCCAGGACTCTTCAGTTCACAGGCCACCGCTCTATCCACTGAGCCAAAACAGCCAGGGCCACACAATCCTTCTTGATAATAAGCTCTCACTGCAGCTTTGCACTTTGGTATTTAAAGGAATTGTGTCTCCTTTCTCCCCTCCCCATCCTCTTCTCTTCCCTTTCCCCTTTCTTTGTCTCTCTCCTCCACTCCTCTTCTGCCATACGTACCCCAGTAGTCTATCAGCTTGTATGAGTTGGACTAATTTGGTTTTCTAAGCATGCACCTGCCTTGCTTCATATCCTTTTCTCCTTCCATTGACCATAGAACAATATTTTTTTCCCCCGTGAAATTTTCCTCCTCGGTGAAATAATTCTCATTATGAACATTTAGCACACAGTTTGAATGTTTATTCAGCTCCTAAGCTCGTACCACTCAGAGCTGAGAGTTGTAGAAGCAGTCTAAATGCCACGGTGAGCACTTCTAAGGCCAGTAGGAAAACAGAGAGAGGCGGGCCGGTCTTGTGGATGGTCACTTGTCTGCTGGGGCCTCTGAAAAGCAAGGGGGAGATGTCAAAATTCCGAGTCTGCTCTCTGGCCAGGGCCATCAAAGATGGTTTTCTTCACAGTCGTGACAGTGAGGTGGGGCCTTGCAATGGGGAAGCCTAGGCCTGTGACTTGGGCAAGTCACCTAGAAGCTCCGAGTCTCCGCCTCCTTGTCTGCGGAGGGGTGAGTGCGATTTCCTGCCTCCAGTGGAGGGTGGGGTAGGTGAGGCCATGCTGGGGACGGAAGTGCTTTGCAGGTTGTAAGGTGCTTCCGGTGGCCTCCTTGATCAGGAGAAAGTTAAGTGGTATCTTTACAAGGTAAGAGGGGATTCAAATAAAAACAAAAAAACCTTTGATTAACTGGCTGCGGAGCCCATTCTGAATGCAATTTTAGAATAATTAGTAGCACTAATTATTTTGTTTGTGAAGTAAAATTATACAGTAAAGGTGGTGTAACACCAAATAATTTTATACTTTTATGGGTGTTAGCTCCATTTTATGGTTAGGAAAATTGGGGTTCACTGGGGCTCCAAAGCTAGTTCTCGGAACTTAGTACCCTCTGAATACAGAAACTGGGCTCAGCACCCTCCGAGCCACCCACGTACCAGTCCAGCCCACTCCTGCCGATATTTGGGGGCCAGGAATTAGAAGCTCTTTGAGAGGAAGGGGTCAGGGAGGAGAACTGTTCTTGTGTCAGCATGATGTGGGCTCACATTTGGGACTGAGAAAACTGAAGTGACTGGCCCCCGGCAGGGACTTACCGTTGGCTTCTTCCCAAAACAGGTCCTGCAGAAACTTCCCCAGGGCCTGCCCATGCCAGTGGGACTGAGCCCCCGACAGCTTGATCCCAACATCAAAGGGGGCGTTGAACTAGGAGAGTAGGGAGGACCCAGGAAATGTCAGAGGTTACAGCCTCCCACACCCCTGCCCCCAACACTTCCATTCCAAAGGGTCAGGGCGATAGGAGGGCCTGTGGGCCCAGCGGGTGCCGCTGAGGGGTAGCTCAGTCCCTCTCCTTTGTAGGCCCCTTCTCACTGCCCCCTCCATCCTGAGGCTGACCTGATTCTCTTCCTTCCCTGCCGAGGTAGGAGCTGTGGTGTCCCCTAGCAAGCCCCTCGCCCTGCCATGCAGTTCTCAAAGACTGGTGGGATCTCAGGTCCTGGCAGGGAGGTTTGGGGGAGTGCACACCCGGTGTACATAGCACAGCCTGGGTGATGGTCTCTGCCCCTTGCTGCCCCCACCTCTCCTTTCCCAGGGGCTCGTCCTCATACGCACAGGCCTCTGGTCAGTGCAGTCAGACAGGAAGCTGACCTTCTCCTAGAGCTAAGTTCGTTCTTCTCGGCTTTAGTTTCTTTCCTTCTGCAGGGAGAGTACACCATTTCTCCTACTTGGCAATCTTTGAGGTGATTTACCATCACCAAGAGCTGTGTTTGCAGCCACATCACTTTTCTCCCTTGAGACGGAGACTGTGTCTCTCTGTTCACCAGTAGCTGCCTCGGCCCTGGCCAGGCTGGGACACCCATGGGTAGGTGGAGGAGGACTCGATGCTGGAAAGGACCCCTGGTCACTGGTCCTTCCGCCCGCTACCCTCCAGACAGGAGGTGTTACCCCATTTTCAGGTAAAGCAGCCAGAGAGGTTGAGGGGCTTGTTTGAGGCCTCTGAGGAGTTGGTGGCCATGGGCGAGGATGCAGGATTCCTAAGTCCGCCAGCCCCACGCTGAGTGAGGCCGCTGTGGCCAGCCCTCGTGCCTCCCCTCCAGGCAGGTACCACTGTGACTCCTATTTTACAGATGAGCAAACATGCTCAGAGAAGTTATTAAAGCAACAAATGGCTGTTTGTTCATTTAGAACAGTTTACCTTCCCCACTTGTCTCCGCTGTGAAGGTGGAGGGCGTGGGGTGGCATGGCTGGTTTTTTAGGGAACTTGTTAGCTCCCTTCAGTAACGTTCAAAGAGTTCAAAGATCCATCCTCCCTACCCGCCGGGCCAGTGTGGGTGGTCCGGGGCGAGAGAGGGGAGCCCTCGCGGGAGGGGCTCCGGGAGGGTGTTGCTGGTGGCCTGCCCTCCCCACCCTCCTCGGCTACACCCCCTCCCGACAGTTCAGACCTCTGGTTCTAGCTGAGGCAGCACGGCCATTTCTTCTGAGGCCGGCCTGCATGGAAACTGGAAACTTCCAGCCCTGCCTTGAGTCAGCCGCCCCTGAAACCTCTTCCCATCTGGGCTAATTCAGAGCGAGCCTAGCTGGGTGAGTGCCCGCCGGCGGGAGCTGGCATCTCACAGGACAGTTCCCGGGTTTTGGCTTGGAGCGGGGATGGGGCGGCTGAGGCTGTCCCAGGTGTGCGGAGGAAGTGCCTGAGGACACCGCCAGGTTTACCGAGGGCCAGACAGCCTGGGCCGGGAGCTCAGCCCTGCAGGAGAGCGGCTGGTGGGTGGTTAGAGACCAGGCTTCGGCTCCTCTCGGGCCAGGAGAGGATGGGGACTGACGTCAGCCCTGACCTTCCGTCCACCGCTGCCGCCTCTGCCTGTGGCATCTCAGCCAAGTGCATTGTCTGAACTTCTAGTCAGTGAGGGCAGTGATACCAGCTCAACAGCCCAGTAAGTGCCATGGTTCATTATTGTTACCATCCAGAGAGTCTTGGTTTCTCTGCATGTTTAAATGCTTGTCAGTACCATCCGCCAACCACACAGCCAGCTTTTCAGGAAAGTTACCTAGATCACCCTCTAAAACCCATTTCTCTCCCCTCCCCCTTCCTGGTCCTCCATTTATCTCTAAACTGTTTCCTTATCTCAGGCAAGATGAGCCAGAGCCAGGGCCAGCCTGGCTGGCCTGTCCTCACCCACGGATGGGCTTTAGGCAGAGGCACCGGGCCTCGCAGCAGCCCTGCCGCCCAGGGAGCGGTCTGGGCGCACTGCAGCCCAGCTGAGGGCTGAGGCCCTGGGCCAACCAGGCGGCTTTCTGCGGGGAAACACCGTTAGTCTGTGACCAGCTGTGCCTCCTGGGGGTCTTTCTCTGGGCACCCCATTTGCTGCACCCTGCGAGCGTCCCCTTCTCTGCTCACAGTTCTGTATGTCCCCTTCTGTGGTAGCAACGTTACTTCTCTTAGATGTTTGCCTCTTCAGGGCAAAGACCACATAGAGCACAGTGCAGTCAACTGCTTTCATGCTGGTAAGTGGACCCCTGTTCATGCCATCACCCCGTCTCCCCTTCCCTCCCCCCTCCCCCGCCACAAAAGCATAAAACGGCAGAGGAACCCACCCGAATTTCCAGCTCATCCTCTGCCCCTTCCTCCTGATTTCCGTCTCCTGGGCGGAGCCAGCCTTCGAGCTCTCGCTCTCGGGGCTGCAGTTTGGCTGGTGGCTTCTTGGACTCCTTTCTCTGCTGGAGGGAGAGAGCTTGCTTTAGGCGCCTGTCCTTCCTGAGCAGAGGCGGGCCTGAGTCAGACAGCGTCCTCCTCTGTGTTCTCAGGCTGAGCCCTGCCACGGCACACGGCGGGCTGCTCTGCGCGGGGCCCCACGGCCGGCCGCTCTGCGCGGGGCCCCCACGGCCGGCCGCTCTGCGCGGGGCCCCCACGGCCGGCCGCTCTGCGCGGGGCCCCCACGGCCGGCCGCTCTGCGCGGGGCCCCCACGGCCGGCCGCTCTGCGCGGGGCCCCCACGGCCGGCCGCTCTGCGCGGGGCCCCCACGGCCGGCCGCTCTGCGCGGGGCCCCCACGGCCGGCCGCTCTGCGCGGGGCCCCCACGGCGGGCAGCTCTGCGCGGGCCCCCACGGCCGGCCGCTCTGCGCGGGGCCCCCACGGCGGGCAGCTCTGCGCGGGGCCCCCACGGCCGGCCGCTCTGCGCGGGGCCCCCACGGCCGGCCGCTCTGCGCGGGGCCCCCACGGCCGGCCGCTCTGCGCGGGGCCGGGTGAGATGCCGGCAGAAGGGGCCTGGTTGGGAGTCTCACCTGCACTTTCTGGTGTTCGGGGCTCAGGAAGCTGGAGCCGGCCATGGCCCAGTCCACGCAGAGCACACTGAGGAGCAGCAGGCTGCACAGGGTCCCCGGGGACGGCATGGCCTCGGCTGGGTGGGGACAGGGGCCAAGAGGAGAGAGAGACTCCAGGTAACATCCCCCCCCCCCCCCCCCCTTCGCTTCCCCGGCCCTTCCAGCGCTCGGAATGCAGGTGGGAGCCTAGCAGACAGGGCAGGGACTTGGACCTGGGCTGGCAGGAATGAATGGAAGGATGTGTGTGTTCTCTTCCAAGACTGTCCAGGGCAGAACCCCTGGCAGTGGGTTCCCCATGTGTTTGCTCAGCCCCCAAGGACCTCGTTCCAGGTTTCTTAGCGGTGACGAAGCTGTCCCAGCACGTCCCCAGGAGACCTGAGCCCAGTGATGTCAGCAGCCCGGCTGCCCCAGCTGTGCCGCCTCCCCTTCGTCCAGTGATAAACCCATAAGCAAACCCGCAGAGCGAGTGAGGGTGCCTACCTGGGTTCCTGGCGGAGGTGGTGCCAGGTGGCTGGCTGGCCCTTATATAGGAAGCCTGTGTTTGCTTTAAACCACAACCTCGGCTCAGGGCAGCCTGGTTTCCAGGGGCTGTTTACATTCCTTGGGTCCTCTGGGTAGAAATCAACAGTGGAGGTCAGATGCGCAGAGATCGTTGGATTGGGTGGGGTGGCCATCTGCTCCAGCTGTCCACAGATGCCTGGCCCTGGTTTGGGGGGGGCGCGGCTGGGGGGTCCGGGCTGGCTTTGCTGCTCTGTGACCTTGGCTCCTTTCTGATGAGATCGGGTGCATTCAGGGTGGAATGGCCGTAGACTTCACTCTCCTTTCTGAATCCCCCTCTGCCCTGGGTAGAACGAGTTTACCGTCACTAGCTGCTAAGAGATCTCTAGTCCTGCACCTGCAGTTCTGTGACCGACGCTGCTCTGGCTCCCACCAGCCTCTGGAGCGAGGGCGCCTGGCTCACGAATTGCCCTGCCTTCCCACGAGGGAAGTCGCACCTCACAGACAGGAAACTGCTGGGAGGGACAGCAGCACAAGCTAACTGTCCTCCGAGGAGCAGGTGGAGGAGTCATTTTAGTCCGTGGTTAAACCTCAGTCTTTCCTCCTGCGTGGAGCACGATGACTCTACATCCTTAGTGGGCTTGCCTCCCCTCCCCAGCCCGGTTCGGAGAGGGAACAGTAGATCTGGAGGCAGAAGGGCTGTGACCTGCTACTGGCGCAGGTAACTTCTCACATTGATTGGCGTCAGGCAGATCACTAATCCTCGTGGCAGGGCCGCCTCTCCGAGTGGCCCTGAGGGTTGATGAGGTTATGTGTGTGAAATTTATAATCTGTAAGGCAGCAGACATGACAAGTATTTCTGTATCAGGCCCAAGACTTTGTGCCAAGCATGTGCGATGGTCACACGTTCTTGGATGAAGAGTTAACAGTAACCTTAATCTGTCCCAGAGCTTCATCCCATTGATGCTCAAGCAGTGACTCCTAGGCTGAATGCAATGTCTGTGTCAAACGTCAGGAGAAGCTCACTTCAGGCCGGGACTCCGTGCAAGAGGCAGATGGTGGCAGTGGAGCAGGCTCTGAAGGGAGGGCATCGCTGCACGCGGAGCGGCATGAGTGATCGGAGCAAACAGGCCTGGTGTGGGCGTGGGACAGCGGTGAGAGGGCTGGCTGGCTTGGAGGATGGTGGTGGGAAGAGGCCAAAGAAAGGCTTCGAAGGTAGAGGGGTCAGGTTCTGCACTGCCTGAGCTCCTGGCACAGAGTGGCTGAATGTGTAGGAGGGCGCCCTCTGAAGGGTTTTAACAGAGGGACAGAGCACAGAATAATGAGCGAGTTGGAAAGACCTAAAAGACTTGGATGCTGGACCTTTTATTTCACTGGAAGAAAATAAAACTCCCCCCAAAGCCACCCAGGCATCAGGGACAATGCTGGGACTCAGTTCCTGGCTCCTCATCCGTGCTCTCTGCTTCCAGGAGAGTCAGTGCTCCATGCAGGGTGGCTGGGGCAGAGGACCAGTTGATGGTTAGACGCCACCGGCTTCAGGGGGCACAGGACCCAGTGGGGGCCCAGGAGGGGCTGGACGGCCTCTCAGTAGGATGTGGGGGGCTGAGTACCTTCTGCTGAAAAACATCTCGTCACCAGCTGCGGTGGGGGCTCCACCTGACAGCACCTGAGCTTAGACCTCTTGGCTGCGGGGCCAGAGGCTGGAGGAGGAGGCCGGGGGGGAGAAGACCCACGGCTTGTTCACAGCCACCCTCGCCCCCACCGAAAGGAAACAACCCGAAACCCCAACTATGGTGACGAGGCACCAGCCGAGACACGAGCCTCTGCTCTTTCCTGACCCCGGAGGCCTCCGGAGCCAGGAGCCGCTGTGTTGATCTTAGATAACAGCGCCAGCGAGCAAACACGCCCTGACTGGTATCTTTGGGAAACAGAGGTGGCCTGTGTGATGGAAACACCCCGACCGAATACCACAGAGGACGCCGTGGGAAGGAAGGAAGATCTGATGGATGGCAGAACCGCCGAGGGAGGGCAGTGGCACCCAGAACAGTCTCTCTCTGCCCACTCACAGTTGGGGAGGGGACAGACCCGGGTGGGAACTGTGTGCAATCTGGACCAGGAAGACCGTAAACTTGGGGAAAGAGCCAGCGTCCCTGGCTCACTTTCCTCCTCCTCCTCCCTTCCAGGGGGTAATTCCAGGCCCAGATTGGCACCTCCCTGCACCCGGGGCCTCCTCAGGACTCTAGGTGCTCTGCAGGCTTCCTCTGAGAGCTTGCTGGCTGGTGGCCTTCTTCCCGTTGCAGGGCCTCAGGGCCGGCTTAATGAATGGAGAGCACGCGCCACTTAATTGTTATGTGTACTTGGTGTCTGAGAACAAATTAACTTTATATACTTTCCACTGTAATTTCATTTGTGCTAATAATTAGTTGGCTTAGCAAGCACTTTTTTCATTGATGAGGCTGAACGTTGGTCTGAATGAGGCAGGTTCTGGGGCTGTAGGAAGAGGTGAGATGGGGCTTTTCGGTGGCCGTTTTCTCCTAGTTCTGGCTCCCATAGCCTCTAGAGCAGCGTTTTTCAACCGCTGTCGCCTGGTGCAGACAAGACAAGAATTTTATAATTTTTCACTATTTTGTTTACTTAATATTTCATAATAAAGTAATTATAAAATACTTTTTGTGTTTATTTGATTCATATTCAAGAGAATTACTTTATATATAGTCAATATAGGCACAGAGTTAAATTTTTTAACATTTTCTAATGGTGGTGTGCCTCGTGATTTTTTTCATGAAACAAGTGTGCCTTTGCCCAAAAAAGGTTGAAAAACACTGCTCTAGAGCAGTATTGTTCAATAGAAATGACATGTCAGCTCAAACAAGAGCCTCTGTGTGACTTTAAATTTCCTAGGAGTTTTATTTTAAAAAAAAATATGTTACTGATCTTTTACAGAGAGGAAGGGAGAGAGGGATAGAGAGCTAGAAACATCGATAAGAGAGAAACATTGACCAGCTGCCTCCTGCACACACACCCCCCACCCACCCCCCAGATGTGCCCGCAACCAATGTACATGCCCTGGACCGAAATCAAACCTGGGATCCTCCAGTCCGCAGGCCAACACTCTACCACTGAGCCAAACCGGTTTTGGCATTCTAGGAGTTCTATTAAAAAAGCGAAGAGAGCCGAAACCGGTTTGGCTCAATGGATAGAGCGTCGGCCTGCGGACTGAAAGGTCCAGGGTTCGATTCCGGTCAAGGGCATGTACCTTGGTTGCGGGCATATCCCCAGAAGGGGGTGTGCAAGAGGCAGCTGATCGATGATTCATCCATGTTTCTAACTCTCTATTCCTCTCTGTAAGAAAATCAATAAAAATATATTTTAAAAAAGCAAAGAGAAATAGGTAAAATAAATTTTAATAATTTAAACCTAAATACCCCAATATTATTGGTTCAATATGTAATAAATATAACAAGGTATTTAACCCTGACTTTCTTTTTTAAAAATATATTTTTATTGATTTCAGAGAGGAAGAGACAGAAACATCAATGATGAAAATCATTGTCTGCCTCTTGCATGTCCCCTAATGGGGATTGAGCCTGCAACCTGAATAGAAACCAGGGCCCTTTAGTCCACAGGCCGATGCTCTATCCACTGAGCCAAACCGGCTGGACCCTGGCTTTCTTTTTACTAAATCTTCAAAGTCCAGTGCATTGTATTGGTACCTCACACAAGTCAGACTAGCCACATTGTAGCCGCAGCAGCCGCTGTGGCTATGGCTGCTGCTCTGGACAAGTTCCAGATGCTCACGGTGCCCTCTTCAAGCTCCCGTAGCCGCAGCCATGCTTGCCTTTCATCCCCTGCTGTCCACACCAAGCCTCTCCCTCTGGGCCTTCCCTGTTCTCCTGCCATCGTGGGGCTAGGCCCCAACAAGTCTCCTTCGTGTCTTCCGTCTTTCTCTTCCATATCTTCTTCCCTCAGTGAGGCCAGGTCTCTAATTCTGGAAAAGTCTGTTTCACACCAACCCCCCTTTCCTCATGCTACCACTTCCGGGCAGAATTCCCTCTCTGTGCATCCTGTTCCTCACTGTGCTCTGTTCCCTCAAAGCCCTTCGGCTCCACCCTCACCTCCCCCAGAGCTGCTGGTGCAGCCTCAGCCTAGAGACCACTGCACGTGGTGAGACCGCACCGGGGATGTGCCCGAAACCAATGTCCATGCCCTTGATCTGAATCGAACCTGGGACCTTTCAGTCCGCAGACTGACACTATCCACTGAGCCAGACCGGTTTCGGCTGTTTTTGCGGGCCCCCCCACCCCCCCCCTTTTTTTTTTTTTTTTTTAATAATGTAAAAGCAAATCCTAGTAATCATGTAATTTCAGCCTTAAAAACTTAGGTATATGTTTTTAACAGGTAAAATACATAGTTGTCTTATTTGAGTCTGGATCCAAACAAAACCCACATTTGACTGATGTATGTCTTAAGTCTCTTTTAGTCTACAATCTCCCTTACCTGTTCCTCCTCTCTTTCAGCCCAAGTAATTTATTATATTTTTAAAAATAGATATTTTTATTGATTTTAGAGAGGGAGAGAAGGAAGAGAGACATAGATTGGCTGCTTCCTGCATGCCCCCCATTGGGGATCAAGCAGTGCCCCGACCACGAATCAAGCCTGTGACTCTCGGGCGCACAGGACTGTGCTCAACCAACTGAGCCACACCAGCAGGGCCCACCCCGTTCATTAAACAAAAACCAGCAGGTTATGGTCCTGTCCAGTTTCCCACCTTCTGGTCTTTGCTGACCCCTACCTTGTGGTATTACTTCACTGTTCCTCTCCCCTGCTTTCTGTAAACTGGTAGTTACACCTTCAGATGAAGTTTCGTTAGGACTCTCTTGCTTTTGGGGAGAATACTTCATTGTTGGTGTTGCGTACTTATTACTGAATTCCATTACAGCATACAATATCAGGGGGCTCCACTTTTACTGATGTTTTAAGAATAAGCTTTACCCATGGATTCAAGTGTTAAATGATCCTATTCATTTTAAAGTTCCCCGTTAACTTTTCACTTTATGGATTTATCTTCCATTGATAATTGTCTACATCACATGTGTCAAACACAAGGCCCGCGGGCCAAATCCGTCCTGCCAGGCCTTGCAATGTGGCCCGCACCGCGCTGTCATCACTGCACTCCGCTGCGTTTCCATCACAATGACAGTTTATGACTATTCAGTAAACCATTCGGCCCGCAATTTAGGCTGGATTTTAGATTTTGGCCCCTTCTCTGATTGAGTTCAACACCCCTAGTCTACATCATTGATTAGGAATTACAAATGGTGATTTTTAAATTGTTCCGTAATATAATTTATACAGGAAAGGCAAAATACTTGGATTTTTTTTTCTATTTGTTTACTAATTTTCCAAGTACATTTGGTATCCTAGCTACCTCCAAAATTTTATTCCTATCAAACTCAGATTTTTTTTAAAAAAACTGATTTTTAGAGAAAGAGGAAGGGAGACAGACAGAAACATATTCAATTGGCTCCCTCCTGCATGCCCGCTATGGGCAGGTCAAGCTTACAAGTGCCCTGACCAGGATTCTAACTGGTGACTTCTGAGTTCCTGGGTTGATGTTTAACCATTGAGCGATACCAGCTGGATGGAATTTTTATTTTTTTAATCCTGACCCAAGATTATTTTTTCCATTGATTTTTAGAGAGAGTGGAAGCGAGGGGGACAGAGAGAAACATCGACGTGAGACACATTGATTGGTTGCCTCCTGCACACTCTCCGACCCTGGCTGAGGATCAAGCTTGTAAAGAATGTTCGTGCCCTTGACTGGAATAGAACTGTGACCCTTCAGTCTGAGAGCCAGTGTTCTAACCACTGAGAAACCCTGCGAGGGCTAAAGGTAGCTTTAAAAAAATATTGATTTTTTTACAGAGAGGGAGAGGGAGTTAGAAACATCGATGAGAGAGAAACAGCAACTGCCTCCTGCACACTCCCTACTGGGGATGTGCCTGCAACCAAGGTACATGCCCTTGACCGGAATCGAACCTGGAACGCTTGAGCCCACAGACAGATGTTCTATCCACTGAGCCAAACTGTTAAGGGTGAAAGGTAACTTTTTATTGTGATTTTTTCCTTTGGCCTATGAATTATCTTTGTGTATTGCTTAAATTTCCATATATTTGAAGATTTTCCAAATGTATTTATATTATTGATTTCTAATTAACTTTCATTATAGTCAGATAATATGTTTGTATGATTTCAGTTCTTTTTAGATGTTAGGTTTTAGGGTCCAGGAATTAGCTTTGATGATTATTCCAGATGCACTTGGAAAGAATGCATTTGAGTGTTACTGAGTAGAATGTTCTCTAAATGCCAAACTGAGTTACGTCAAATTTAGTTGTAATTTTTATGTATTTTATAAACTTATTTTGGGGGGGTCTTCTTGTTGTTACTGAAAGAGGAGTGCTGAGACCTCCAACTGTAATTGTAGGTTATTTCTCTTCAGTTCTGTCAGTTTTTGTTTCACATATTTTGAAGCTCTATTTTAGGCGCATACACATTTAGAATTGTTATGTAATCTTGATGAATTCTTGTTCCTTTTTTTTTGTTTCTCTTTATCCCTGATATTTCTTATTCTGAAGTCTTTTTTGTCTTATATTAATACAGATATCTCCTGCTCTTTGAAAGTTCATGTTATGCTGCTTCACTTTTATGAAAGATCTACATTATTGTTTTTACCAAATGAAAGAAATTTGAAGAGGATTTTCATTTTTATGAAAATGTCAAAAAGCAGTGAGTGTTTATTTTGCAGCAAACCACTATGGCGGCAGCATGCACTCCAAGCAGCAGGTGGCACCACCAAACTCGCTCTCCAGGACCGACACTCAGCATCTCAGCACCAGGCCACCGGAGCTTCGAGCTGTCTGTGAGTTGCAATAAACATAGGGGTTCACGCAGCTTTTTAAATGTGTTTTCATATTCTTTGTATAAATACCCAGAAAAGAAATGACCAAGTCATATGGTAGTTTAAAATTAAAAAAAAAAAATGTTTGATTTCAGAGCTGAAGGGAGAAATATCAATGATGGGAATCACTGGTTGGTTGCTTCTGCATGCCCCCACACTGGGGATTAAGCCTGTAACCTGGGTATGTGCCCTTGACCAGAACTGAACCTGGGACCCTTCAGTCTGCAGGCCAGATAGTTCTTTGGTAGTATATACAAATACAACAGATTTCTATATGTTAATTTTATACCCTGCAACTTGACTGTATTCATTTATTTCTATTCTTTTGGTGGATTTTCTAAAAAAAAATATATAAAGTTATATCTTCCAGAGATAGTGACAGTTTTACTTATTCCTTTCCAACTTGGACACCTTTTATTTCTCTTTCTCACTGCTTTGTTTAGGACTTCCGGTGCTTGCTATGTTGAATAAGTGGAGTGAGCCCCTTGTCTGGTGATCTTGGAGGAGAAGCTTTCCGCTTTCCACCAGAGTACGCTAGCTGTGGATTTATTTATAACCTTTGAGAGGTTTTAAATCACAAGTGGATGTTGTATCATGTCAAATATTTTTCTGCATCTCTTGAGATATGATTTTTATCCAATGTTAATGTGGTGTAGCACTTTCATTGATATGTGGGTAAATTCAACATAGTATTTGGTGTATGGCAAATTCAAGTTTTGCTTTTTGGAATTTTCTGATTTTTTTCCTGAACATTTTTGATCTATGGTTGGCTAAATCCCCAGATGCAAAACCTGCAGTTATGGAGGGCCAACTATACTTGTTCCTTTTATGTAAAATGTCTTTTTCTCTGGCTGCTTGAATAATTTAAAGTTTCAGCAATTTTATTATGGGGTATGTATGTGTGTTTAGTGATTCTTCTACTTGGGTCTCCAATTTTCTTGGATCTGTAGGGTTATAACTTTCCAACTTGAAAATTTCTTTCTTTAAATATATATATTTTAAAATGTTTTTGATTTCAGAGAGGGAGAGAGAAACATCAATGATGAGAATTATTGGTCGGCTGCCTCCTGCACACCCCACACTAGCGATTGAGCCTGCATTCCGGGCATGTGGCCTGACTGGGAATCGACCCATGACCCGCTGGTTTATATATATAGGCTGATGCTCAACTACTGATTCCTGCTGGCCAGGATCTTCAAATATTTTTATCCCCCAACTCCCCTTAAACTTGTTTTCTTCTTGGGACTCCAATTTATACAGTTTAGGTTATTTAATACTGTCCCACAGTTGCGTGGTTCATCTTTTGAGTTCCTTTTTCTCTGTACTTATTTGTAGCTTCTACTGCTCTCTCTTCAGACTCAGTGCTACCTTTCTCACTGTAGTGTTTAATCTGCTCTCACTCCCATCAGTATGTTTTCACTTTATTTTTAAAATATATTTTGATTTTTTACAGAGAGGAAGAGAGGGATAGAGTTAGAAACATTGATCAGCTGCCTCTTGCACACCCCCTACTGGGGATATGCCTGCAACCAAGGTACATGCCCTTGACCGGAATCGAACCCGGGACCTTTCAGTCCGCAGGCCGACGCTCTATCTACTGAGCCAAACCGGTTTAGGCTGTTTTCACTTTTGATTTTTTCATTTCCAGAAATTGTTGGCAACATTTTTTAATCTCCCATTTTATGTTCTTTTTCCTTTACATTCTTGAACATATTTATAATAGTGTTTTAAGGTACTACTCTAATTACATGGCCTCATTTCTGTGACTGTCAGGTCCCCCCCCCACCCCCCTTCTGGTTATGGACAATATTTTCCTGCTTCTTTGCATGCTGGTAATTTGGGATTGGCTGCTAGACACTGTAAATTTTGTTTTTCCTTTGAAGCGCATTGGGCTTTGATCTGGCGCTAAGTGAAATTATTGGGGGGTCAGTTTGATCCTTTCAAAGCTTTAAGATCCAGAGCAACCTTTCCTCGACCTCACTGAGATTTACTGTTCGGGTATATGTCTTTTTTAGAACCCAGTGTCTTATGTTTATGACGTTTTTGGACTCTGGTTATTGGAAAAATGAACTGCTGTGAGTTTTCAGGAATTGTTTATCGCTTTCAGTCATGAAGAGTTTCACCCTTGATACATGCAGGTTAATAATCGTTCAAAGATTCTAAGAACCCCTTCTGTAGATCTCAGGAGCTTGCTCTCTCCTTCAGTCTCTGCCCCATATACTGTGGCTTGGCTTTCCTGAACTCTGATCTGTCTCAACTCAGTGAGAACACTGGATTCTGTCTCCTGTCCTTTGGCCTGGCAGGGGGCTGGGATAACTGTGTTCCCCTCACTTGTTTTTGTTCTCCCTAGTACTGCCTGTTGTCACACATACTAGTGTTTACAGTGTGATGAGAATCACAGCCGTTAATCCTTGTGCAGAAGTGGAAACCTCTCCTGTAGAACTCATATAAACGAAAGCCTGTGAAATTTCTAGTTTTAACAGTTCACTGGCTTGCTGTTTTCTATTCAGAATGGATAATTATTTGATGGTAATTATTGGGCTTCCTGGCTCAAAGGATCATAAGAACCCCCCTCCCCCCTGCAGTGTAGATCCCACACAGGTATTATGGCTATGAATGGTGTGGCCCTACGCCTCCAGATTCCTTAATGTTGTCGCAGGGGGGGAGGGGGGGTTCCTTTTGCTACGCCAGCTCTTTTGTTTTTTTGTAAAAGGATTGAAAACCGATGGCTGCTACTGCCTTTTTGTCTTGTCCAGCACCCTTTATACCTTTTCAATCACCCTTTATTCATCTCATTTGGGTAGCAACTGTCCTGGAAGGTTAACATAGTGTTTCCACTTAATTAGCTTAGTTTATGGTAATAAATTGGGGGATTTTTCTTACCCCCAAAAGGTGAATTTGTTACTACTCTAACATAAACTGTTGGTGATAATTTTATGTCCCTCCAGATTATCTAAACGGATCCTCACTCGTGTAAACTATACAGAGCACATGGCCAGGAGGACGCACTGACCTATTACCAATCCAGTGTGACATGGAACTAGTCCCTAGACCAGACTTGTCCCTGGGAGCACAGTTAGTTAGGGGAGGCAGACATGTATGTAGAGCGAACTAGAATTCACGGTAGTCTGTGTCCACTGAGAGAAGTATGCAAAGGTGCCACCTTGGGTCTTTCTTTTCTCATGTGAATAACAGGAAAGAAAAACCACACACAAAAAATCGCCCGCACTGTTCATACTGTTCTACAAAGGCTTGGATTTTACCGAATGACTGGAAGTCTGGGTGGGCTGGGCCATGGCCTCACTATCCTTGCTTCTCATTTTATATATTGCAATCTAACATTTATTTCAAAACAGGGGTTTTGCTGCAGAAAAACAAATGATGAGAGAAGAATAGGGACCCACACTTACCTGTGCACACAGCCTCCTGAGGTGAGTTTTGTCTAAGTGCAGCCAAATCAAACCACTGTGCTCACCACCCCTAGGTAAGAGCTCAGGAGCCCCTCACTGCACTGAGGGGACTGGCTGTACCAACCCGTGCCAGTTCCTCAGTAAAGACTTATATTTGTTGTGCTGCTTAATGGGTGAAAGAGCAAATGTACCGCCAGCTCACAGGTCTCAGCAAATGGTCGCTATTGCTGTGACTGCTGATTCAGGCGAGGGGCCCAGGGCCTCTGCTGAGCGGTGGTAGTTGGCTCAGGATCAATTTAGACCAGAGCCATGGTCTCCTATTACTGTTAGGGTCAATAAACTGAACGAATGGTGCCCTCCCTTCCAGCCAGTCTCTTAACTACATTGATATTTTGTTAGTTCTGTCCTGCATTTACATGGCATTTTGTGTTTCACCCACATATTAGCTATTTTGAGTCTTACAACTATCCTGGAGGGCAGACTTTATTAGTCTCATTCCACAGAAGGGGATGTGCATGCAGAGCCAGGGTTCCAGTCCCCATCACTGAAGACCACGTCTAGCATGCCTTTGTACGGTGCCTTCTGTATACACTGAGTCACAGATGTTCATACTGTGGCAGACCAACGGGGACTTGGTTCATGTTGACCAACAAGAGTCAAAATGAACTTTTTTAGGGAGGATAATGTAGGGACAATTATAAACATCATGTTTAATTATTTTGGAAACAAAAACTCCCAAATAATGCCTGAACCCAAAAGGTACATAAAAATGGACAAAAAAATATTTTTAAATAATAGATCATTTGTAGTTTCCCCTCATAGTGGGTGCTTTGTAAATTACAGACCATATCAAATCATGTTAAGGCAGATGATCAGCAGATGATCAATCTTGTTGCAGTGTTAACTCTTCCTGGGAAAATGATCTTGTTGGAGCGCCTCCTTTCCGCCGTTCGGTCAGCTGGTCCAGGAATTGGCAGGTGGGGAGCTGGCCCCATCAGTCTTGTCACTGCTCATTCTGCTGGCCCTCTGTGACCGAAGCAGACACGGAGCCCTGGCCCTTGTTGACATCACTGATGCACACCCACTGCCCGTCGACGGACTCCTTCCACAGGGTCACCTGCAAGCCAGCACACAGGTCAGCACCCCTCCTGCTGCTCTCATCTCCCTGGACCCCTGAATGAGGGCCAGAATTCCTGTAAAGAACCACGGCTCACAGCCATGTGGGTAGACAGAGGACTAATCTTGATTTCCTCACTGAAATCCCATCAAAACAGAAAAAAACTAAAAATCTGCACAAAGGAAATGACATGAGTAGTTCCAAATGATTTCACTCCCCCTTAAAAGAAGAACTATTCATGGACAAGATAGGGGAGAGAGTGAGGCTGACAATCCCCCCCCCCCCCCCCCCCCCACCCACACACACTAGAGACCAGGCTGGGAAGAGGGATGGCTCCCGCTAACTGCACCATCTCCCCAGCAGGTGCGGCTCTTCCAGAGGGAGGAGAGCACTGGGTGACACCAGAACCACAAGAGATTGTAGGTGAACCTGTGGGTCAACCACTGGGAATCCGACTGAGAAGGGGCTTCCAGCAACCAGCACTCAGATCTTCGCAGACCTAGTTCCTACCTGCAGAATCCAACCGGGCCCAGACTGACAGGGAACTTGGTGAGTGCAGATCGCCTAATTCGGGTCCCCAAACAAGAGTTTTGCCTACTTTTATAAGTCACAGCCCTACCTGCTGCAGGAAGAGCCAGGAAGAAAACCTCGAATCCACATGTTCCACCAACTGCATAGCTGGGAGGAAGGGGGCAGGCAGAGCTGAGTACCTCCAGAGCAGAGCCAGTGGCCCTGTTCGGCCATGGCATCCACTGGGGCAGGGACTGGCTTGAGTCAAAGCCATGAAGAACATTAGAGCTGCCTTTCCTGCTGAGCCCAGGAAAGAAACTAATTTGTAACTACACTTACTCCTGAAAACAGCTTCAGACCAGGGACCCCTCCCACAGCCCTGCTTCTGTGGCCCCGGAACAGAAAGCACAGACTATGGCTGTTCCTGTCTCCAGAGCAAAACAAGTGACTCACCTGAATAGACATTCAGTAGGCTCTGGCCTGACTGGGGTCCCCAGTGAGTCTGGGTGTGTCCCATTGTCCCACTCCAAAGCAGGGAGGCTGATTCCCAGCCCCACCTACTATTGAGTGGAACACGCAGTCCTGGCCATGCAGTGAGTCTGACCAGGAAACCTGCCAGCAGTCATACCTAGCTGTTCTCAGCCAATGGCACACCCGCACCTCCCACCCCAGAGCTCCGACAGCTGCCTCACCCAAAGACGCATCCTAACAGCCAGGGGTCTATCTTTGCTATGAGGACCCCATCTGTCCAAAGAAATTACCAACAGCCACGTCCACAAACCCAGACTGAACTCTCCGCCAGAGCGAGCCCGGAACCCGGAGGAGCCCACTCACTCAGGGGGCAGGGGCCAGGAGCACGAGAAACCCGGTAAACGACAGCACCAAGGAAACTAATCCAGCTCCAGTACCTGATACTAAAGAAATGGAGGCTTTGAACTATCATAAAGAATCCAGAATACTTGAAGTTTAGTGAACCACAAGAATATACAACTAAATGAGATTAGTTAAAACAATGCATGAATAACACGAATTTTGGCAAAGCAACAGAAAACATAAAAAAAACTCAAAAGCAGCCTCAACACTGTACAAGAAAGAACTATGATCTGAAAGATAGGACAGTTGAAAGTATCCAGTCAGAAGGACAAGAAGAAAGAAGAGCACAGAAAGCCCACAGGAATTATGGGACCTAAGGAAACCACCACCACACACAACCAATACAACAGCCCCCACGCCCCATCCACAGGGATATGTTCCGTGACTCCCCCAGTGGATGCCTGAACCGTGAAGGTAGTACTGAACCCTACACACACACATATATACCTATGACAAAGTTAATTTATAAACGAGGCACAGTGAGAGAGAGAAAAACAGAATAATTGTAAACAATATACTATAATAAAAGTCATGTAATATGGTCTCTATCTTATGCTCGCCCTTTATTTAATGGAAGCAGGTTATGGCTTGTTTTTGGCATATGTGAATTGCCAGCATCACTACTCTTGTGCTTTGGGGCCATTAAGTACAAAAAGGGTTACTTGAACATAAGCACTGTGCTATCACAATAATCACTATGATAATGACATAGATATGAGAATCATTGATCGCTGCCTCCTGCACGTTCCACACTGGGGATCAAGCCCACGACCTGGGCATGGGCCCTGACTGGCAATTGAACCGTGACTTCCTGGTTCATAAATCCATGCTCAACCACTAAGCCACACTGGCAGGCTAGAAATATTTTTAAGAAAATTGGAATTAAACTCAAACGGTAAGAAAATATGCAGAAGTTAACATCCTTATATTCCCCCCCCCCCCTTTTTTTTTCATACTACCTCTTAAAGGGAGTAGATTTAAGGATATAATTAGGACACATGCTCAAAATGTAGGCCTCATTAACTAGTTTCCAGTGGGCAAAGACAATGGGGCCCTGCCCCCAGGCTATGGAATGCTGGGTACCTTATTATCTCCGCCCGAGACGGCCAGGATGTTGGCTGTGATGGACCAGCTCACGTGCCACACGACGTCATTGAATTTGTGCAGCAGTTTGGGAGACCACGTATTGCTTGAGGCATCGTCACAGGTCCAAACGAACACACGGCCATCCTGGGAAGACAGGGTCAGGATATGGGGGCAGTTTTCATGTCTCCAAAGTCACTTGCTTGTTTCAGTTCCCTCTGTCTATACTTTCTCAACTGAGTGGGTCTGGCTGCCTAAAAACCAAGTTCAGAGAATAAGAAGGGAGAAAAACACACAACAAAAACCCTCTCAAAAATAGGACCAAACAAAACAGGCACAAATGACATTTATAAAAGGCCTGGCTTAATTCTTGCCTGGGGTGCTGGTAGCCTATAATTAAAGGCTTGTCCTTGGTCTTTTGTGATCTGCCGGGGGAGTGGGTGGGTGAGGTCCCTGTTTGGGACAATCTCAGATTGTAGTGAGCACTTCAGTCTCCGCTCACACCCGGTGCAGCAGGGGAGGCTCCACTTCAGAGCTCACCGTGTGGTGACTGCTCCACCCTCTGCGATCCGCACGGGCCCAAAGGTACTCGCTGCCCTGCCCTTACCTTTCAGAGACTCTCCCCTAGAGGACTGTAAGGGCTGATGGGACTCCCTCGGAGATTAAACCACATGGGATGCCCACCTGGGAACAGCTGGCGATGGTGCTGGTGGGCAGACCAATGGAAGGGGCCCAGGCCACGTCTCGAACCCAGTCACTGTGTGCTTCCAACTTCTGTTCCTCCTTCCACTGACCATCCTCTTCCTCCCTAAAAGGGAGATTAGAAGAGAATCAGGTAGCAGCCAAGGAGCCTTTCCCCCACCTGTATTGGGCATGTGATCACATTCCTTCTCCACATTGTAAGCTCCATGGGGGCTGAGAAGCTATTCCACCTTCCTGATTTCATTCGAGTCTGTGGTTTTATCCAGTTCACAGCTATAATGCACTGCTCTTCATGGCCAAGCTCTAGCAATCAGGAATTAGGGAGAGAGTGAAACTGCTTCAGCTAACAGCAAGGTGTGTGTTTTTTAAAGGATTTCCTCTGACACTGAAAATAGTACTAGTATTCTGTGGACAAGAGGAAAAAGGAAGATGACCCTGTTTTTTGTGAGCTGTGGCTGTCATGGGAGGTAGAGTAGGAGGTAAGAAGTCTCCCCTTGAAAAGCCCACGAACCCCACTTACTTCCACAGCTTGATGAGGTTGTCACAGCCGCCCGAGGCAAATTTCTTGATGTAGTTGGGCTTCTGTCCGGACGGCTGGTCTATGAGGCTTCCAGGCACGACAGCAGGGGCCCAGCTGACGGCATTGCAGCCAATCTGTAAGGAAGGGACTTGTGACTTTGCCCTTCTGCCTGGCAATAGAACACTGCTTTGGCAGACCGAGGCTGCTGCTCGTTTTTTTTTTTTTTTTAATTAAATATATATATTTTATTGATTTTTTATAGAGAGGAAGGGAGAGAGATAGAGAGCTAGAAACGTTGATGAGAGAGAAACATCGACCAGCTGCCTCTTGCACACCCCCTACCGGGGATGTGCCTGCAACCAACGTACATGCCCCTGACCGGAATCGAACCTGGGACCTTTCAGTCCACAGACTGACGCTGTACCACTGAGCCAAACCGGTTTCGGCGGCTGCTGCTCATTTACTCTCAATCCTGTATGTAGGACAGCTGTTTTGATGAACTAAAGATTAGCCACTCATAATTCTCCTTGAAGGACTCTTATCAGGGTATATATTTTTCAGCAATATGCATGTAAAGTGAGAATTAGGGACTCTCAAGAATTTAAGAAACAAAACATTTTTCAAACTTATGAAGGGAAGGCAGATTCAGAAAACCATACATAGTAAATAAGCACTCTTATAACCATCACCAAATTAAGAAATAAGACTGCAATTTACCCCGAAAGCCCTGCCATCATGTCCTACTTGAATCACAGTCCCTCTCACCCCACAAGTACCCGTTATCCTCACTTATAATCTTTTTGTTTTAGTTTTGTAAACCAAATGTGCATCCAAACACTAAAGTTTAGTCTTGCTAAATTTTGTGTGTGTGTGTGTTTTTTTTTACTGTTTTTTTACATCTCCTAATTTATAGCTTCCTCTGATTCCTTTATCCTTTATAATTTTTCTGTTGAAGACATCAGTGTCATCTGATCTGTAGTTTCTCAGGCTGGGTTTTGCTGTTGCACTCAGTTCAACATGTTCCTCTGAATTCCTACATTGCCAGCTGGACCCATGATGGGACCAGACTCAGGTCTGACCCCTTTGCCGAGACAACATGTGGTGGTGTATTCTTTCAGCAGCAGGCACATGATGTCAGACCGTCTCTCTATTGTTAGAACCTGTCAATAAGTTATGCCTCTCTAATTCTGTAATTACAAAATGGTGACACTGTAATTCATTTGTCATTTATCACATGGAATACCCTCATAATATTTGGTTGTGCAGGGGTACAGATCAATAGGAAAGGCAGAATATACTTGATTCTTTCAGAATTGGTTCCTTAACTTTCTCCAAAGATGATATGATTCTGTCTTAAACGTATGAACTCATGGATTTAAGCATATGTGTTAAGTTCATTTCGTTGCAATTCTTCTCATTTTTGACACTCATACTGCCCATCTTTGGCACTGTGGACCTCTCAAAAAGTTGGCTCCTTTGACATAATCCTAGTACTAGTATGTCAAATATCACTTTATTTCTTTTCAACATGGCCTGACAAGATGTACAAGCTCATCTTGTACATTTCCTACTTCAGACCTGTAATTGTCATTTCCTCAAGCTCTGGTTCCTTTAGTGAGAAGCTATCCAAGACCTCAGTCTGGTGCTAGGGATGCTCACTGGCACATAATTATCTTAGAATATTGCCATTATGACTAGTAAAATCCTTAATAAAGTGTTTGTAATGTTCTTCCTATTCTCCTCTAGTTCTTTTTTAAATATATCCTTATTGATTTCAGAGAGGAAGGGAAAGGGAGAGAGAAACATCAATAAGAAAATCATTGATCAGGTTCCTCCTGCATGCCCACACTGGGGAATCAAGCCTGCAAGCCAGGCCTGTGCCCTGCCTGGAACTGGACAGTGACTTCCTGACTCATAGGTTAATGCTCAACCACTGAGCCATGCTGGCCGTGCTCTTCTGTTTTCACTTTTTATTTTTTGTGGGGGCGGGGAGGCGGTGTGTGTGAATTGTACCAACATGAAAATATGTGGATCTTCAGCTGCTCATGTGCCACACTTAAAAAAAAATAAATAAATAAAAATAAAAATAAAAAAAAATATATATATATATATTTTTTTATTTTATTGATTTTTTACAGAGAGGAAGAGAGAGAGCGAGAGCTAGAAACATCGATGAGAGAGAAACATCGACCAGCTGCCTCTTGCACACCCCCTACCGGGGATGTGCCCGCAACCAATGTACATGTCCCTGACCGGAATCGAACCTGGGACCTTTCAGTCCGCAGACCGACGCTCTACCACTGAGCCAAACCGGCTTTGGCCACACTGTTGTTTTTGTTAAACCTAATAACCAGAGGATATTTTCTCCATTTGAAAGAGTAAAAGGGAGGGAAGGAGGTAGGGAAGGGAGCGGGGGGTAGAATGAAAGAGAGACAGAGAAACATCGATGTGAGAGAGAAGCATTGGTTGCCTCCTACATGCGCCCAACCGAGGCTGAGAACTGAACATGCAACCCTTCGGTGTGTGGACCCACACTCTAACCACTGATGCACACCGGCCGGGCTGCCACGGCATTTTAACAGCTGTACTCCATCTGCCTTAGCAGAGCACATGGCCAATACATCCCATACTCTGCCTTCTAACCCTCATTTAGTCTTAGTTCTTTACCATAAACTGTGTATTTATGTAGGCATGCCTTGGAGATACTGTAGATGTGGTTCAGATCACTGCTATAAAGTATCAAAATAAAGTGAGCTGTAATCTTTTGGCTGGCGGAGTCTTGCCTTTAATTTGTAAAGAGCACAGCATCAGAGAGTGCAATAAAACGAGGTATACATGTATAAATGTCTTTCTAGTCACTTTTGTTTAAAGCTTATTTTCTAGCGGAGACACATCAATTGGTTGCCTCAAGAAGGTCTCATGAAAACAGTAATTCTTGAGTTCTTGCATACTAACAACTTTTTATTCTCCAAACTAAAAATTTAAAAACAGCCGAAACCGGTTTGGTTCAGTGGATAGAGCGTCGGCC